AGTGGGGGTTTTAATGCAACTCCATTCTGTCCCCTTTTTTTTTTTTTTTTTTTTTTGTAAATGGACACAAAATCGTGTTTTGCAGCAAACTCGCCCAGTTCTCAGGCCACAAGCCTGTGCAAACCGAGACCGAACTTGCCCGAGTATGTAAAACATGTACAGCATTTATGTCATTGTACAGTAAAAGATCGATTCAAATGGACGGCTGCTTAAAACTGGTGCTTGCGGACTTCCTGGTTAGTGTAATTTTGCAAAGCAACAACGCTGCAATCCCAAAATGCTTTAGGGAGTCCAAACAGGAGCTTAGAAAATTCCTAAGAGCCAAAGAAATTCTTGATTTGTTGTTTTGTTTTTTCCTGTGTGTTTCCTGAGTGATCATTCCTTAGTTTAACCGCGGGGCTGTAACAGAGTAATGATAAATAATTATACGAATAAAAACAGTGTAACAAAAGAGTCCGCTAAAAACTACGTCAGCCACCTTTTGCGATGACAATTGCGACCTGAAAAGCTTCACTACAAGTCCAGGATTTACATACTCGGCCACTAGAGGGCCCTCAAGTGCAGGCTGGCTGACCAAAACACTTAAGACTCCGTTTGATCTTTGATAATACTGCTGTTCACCTGCATGTAGCATATGCCTTCAGTGCAAGACTCATTCCATTCTGACTTCATAAAAAATTAAAAACACATAAAAGTAAAAAATAACTTTGTTTTCATATAAATAGAAAAACAAAGTAAAGAAATTTCATAGTCAAGTGAACAGTGTCCAGATGTCCACCTGAATGACAAAAAGCAAAACAAAACAAAAAAAATTAAATGCCAACATTAAAAATACATTACTATGTCAACTGTACAAGTTAGTCACTGTACCTCAAGAGCATACTTACTATCTGAGAAGAAAAAGAAATGCTATAACATTGTGAAAAAATAGTCTTCCATGCAAGTGGAAGCAGCTGTCCCTTTTACTAGACTCATTTCCTATAACATTAAATAGTGATTAGCAGGCTATAGTTAAAAAAACAAAACAAAACAAAAAAAAATCAAACAAAAACAAACAAACAAACAAAAAAAAACTACATACAAAGTAACGCCCAGATGCTTCGGGAGAGAGTTTGTAAAAGATCAGAAACAGCAATTCCTGGTTATTGCTTCAGTCCATTTCACGTCTCCCTTTACAAAAGCACGTTTGTATTTTCGTATGGGGGGGGGGGGGGGGTCCTCAAGCAAACTCAAGGAGTCCTCTCCTCCTGTTTGTCATGATACAAATCACAGTTTCATCATTCTAACTGCCTACGCTAAGCCTTCCGGCTGTCTTGATTTCAAGACAAATCCTACTTGAATTCTACTTAACTGTTCTGCGTCACGAGCCAGTCACTAAACATTAGGTGGGACACAGTTAGGACTTTGGGGAGGGGAAAGCGGGGGGGATCTCCTACTGGCCTCACAGCTCAAGGAACTGCTGCACTTCAAAGCTGGATGAAGTGGACACCGGTTTGGGGTGAGGGGCGGTGGGGGATGGGGGAGCTGTTAAAGTGAGGACAGGAGTCGCTTTTCACTTCATTTTCCCTTTCTTTCTGGCCAGTTAGATGTTGACGTTCATCTTTTTTTTTTTTTTTTACCAAGGTGGGGAAGAAGGCAAGACTTGGGACAGAAAAGGCATGCTATCGACTGGCCTCATTGCGATGTTTAGCGGACCGGCTATATTCATGGGCATGGGGGTGGTTATTGCGACCGGGTGGGCGATATTCATGGGCGCCGTGGCGGGGATGTTCACAGAGGCGATGTTGACGGGCCCGGTGATGGTGACCGGGTGCTGGAGGCTGACTGGGGACGTGATGTTGACCGTGTTGGTGCTAATGTTCATTTGTGCGGCTATGGTGACGGGATTGTTGTTGTTGGCGTTGCCCCGGTTCATCGTCGAGGTGATGGGGGCAGAGACGGTCACGGGTGTCGCTGAGGCCGAGTTGCAGACTTCATTACCTTCAGACGGAAGGAAGAGTTAATTTTGGGCGCAGCAATAACGACGACAACAACAAAGTCTTACAGCGTTTGTACAGCTGGAACTTTCCAGCGAACGACCACAATCCCCAAGGTATTTTATTGGGACTGCATGTGGTGGACCAAAAAAAGTAAAAAGAAAAAAAAAATAGTGCATAATAAACATAATTAATAAAATCCACTGCAATCAATTTTCTTCAGGAGTCAAATTAAATTAAATTAGAGATTAAATAAAATAGTCATGTTAACTTCATTTGATAATCATAAAGCTGTTATTTGAAGGTTTGAGTGATTTGTTGGAGAACATTAGTGAACAAAGACCATCAGGAAAATCAGGGAACATAGAAAACAGGGATAGATGTGAAGCTGTGAACAGTTTAAAGCGGGGTTAAGCACCATTTCATCCATAATCTGAATATAGATATACGAGATATATGTAATAGAGTATGGCATCAGCCGAAATGTTATAAAGAATGCAAGAAAAAACCAGGAGTATCGTGTATTTTCCAGCCACATTTCATTCATAGCACAATCACGTAACTGTGTTTCTTACAGTTATTAAAATGCTGCCTATATAAAAAAAAATAGCTTAAGACATCTGATTTTGTATTCTGATAATTTGAAATTATGTCTCTTTAAGAAGTCCAAGCTATGACACTTTGCCTTCAGCATGATGCCATTTAAAGCCGTTCTTAGGAGAACTGAGAAGTGGTTCGTCTGATGAGCTAGATGCTGCTGCCGCTAGTCCCATAAATGGTTGCCATGGGAGATTTCTCAAGCGTCCATGAAAAGACGAGAGCAACACTCCAGGTATGTTTTTGGGAAGGGAATAACATTATAACATGACAAAGTTCAAAACTGGTGATTTTCCCCTTTAAGAAAAAGGGTGTTTTGGTTAGACTAGATAACCTTTTAGTCGACACACAAAACACTGTGTTTTTGAAAAATAACAGCACATCGGTCATGAGACTGTGAAAGCAGCATTCTTCACTCAGAGGCCTCTTCAGATTTGTTGTGAGACTGGCTGCTAATGGAGGTTCTCCCTGTCCACAGCATCACCATCCACAAAGACTTAGAAGATACTTGGATGAGTAGAATTTATCTTTGGGACAAAGTAGAGTATTTTGGACCGAATGAATCAACGTCCAGACTAAATCTAGTTGAGAAACTGTGTCAAGATTTGAAAATGGCTGTTTGCATCCTGCCTCCACTCAAAGTGACTGAGTCTGCGCTTTCCTAAAATATTCAGTTTGTATATGTACAAGGGCAAAGACATAGCCCAAAGGACTTACAGCTGTAACTGCACTGAAAAATATTAACGAAAGGGCTAAATAGGGCTACATAAAATCTCAATTTGTTAAAAACAAACAAACAAAAAAAAGCATTAGAAAAACATGCAGGGTTTTCCTTCCACTGCAAAATTATGCGCTAGTCTGTGTTCAAACTAGCGCACTCCAAAATACAGTAAAGTTTAAATATTACATGATATTTAAACTTCATGGTATTTGAAAGCAAAAGCGGTTTTCACTCGTAGTTCAGATGAGTCAGAAGGCGGTTCAGGAAGGACTTGATATCAAATTTGCATACAGATTAATATGCGCAGTAACATGCAGTGATGATTTAGAGTAAAAGATATAGCAGAAATCAAACTCCTTTTTTGTTTCCGATTATTGGTTATATGTTTCTGATGAGTGACGAACCTTTGTTACAGGAGTTAAAGTTGGTTTGTCCGTGGGTCTTCAAATGACTGGTGATGTAGGCTGCACTCAGCATCTTCCCACAGATGCTACAGGTGACCTTGCCTTCATGTCGGATCATGTGGGAGCGGAGTCTGTCTTTGGTGGCGAAAGCGGAGGTACAGGCCTGCAGTCACAGGACAAGTGTGAGTGGGATGAAAAAAAATAACAAAAAAAAACAAACAACAACAAAAAAAACCAAATCTGCTCAAGAAAACCTGGCAGTGATGGCTCTTACCGTTACTTGACATTTAAATGGTCTTTCTGAGGAGTGCACATGCTTCACATGGCAGCTCAAATGGTCTGGCCTAAATAAAACAGACAATAATGATACAAAAATAGACATTTAATTTGTGAATGGTGATGCAGGGAAGCGTCGTGTTTTTTTTATGAGTCATCCATAGTGGGCTGTTTTTAGCTCCCTGCTCCAGTTCAAACGTTTCTTTGCTTTCCAAAATTTTAAGAGAAGAAGAAGAAAAAACTGAAATATGTTAATTTAATATCCTTGTTTCACTGAGCGATAGTATGCACGACCTAGAAGTCTGAAACGCTACAAAGTGTCCAAATCAGGCCATGAAAGTGTGAACTGCAGGTGAACTTTGTCCAAATAAAACTACAAAATGTTATTCAAAAGCAGAAGCTACGTATGCATGTGTGGTATTGATTTTAAATTAAATCCATCAATATCGGGGCCAGAAACATGTAAATATTTAATGTGACTTTTTTTTTTTTGTTTTAAAGTGTACATGCGTACATTTCTAACTATAACTGCCATGTTAAATAAATAAGAACATAAAAAGCTTCAGGTTGAACTCCACTATGAGCGCAAGTGGACGGATGTGCTCTGTTTGCCTCGATAATGAGGAGATGGGCAGAAAATCCCCAAAATTTCAGTCAATGGCAGTTAATTCTCTGCGACCAATGGCGCGTGAATCAGTTTGACCTACTTTTGAACATGCACCACAATGCGACGGCCTTCTCCTTTTCTTTTCTTCTCCCGATTTCCACTCGCCGCTTTAATTAAGCTGAAATTTGGGTAATATTGCCATTTATTTCCCATGATAGGCGGCAAGCGGGCAAAAAATGTGACAATATTAGTTTGAGGAAAACTCATTAGTTCTGATTTCCACTGGGACTAATTCCCTATTGTTTTTAATCGAGCAGGTTTGTAAATAAGTACTAAAGTGTGAATTTATTTTGCCAGCATATCTAAAAGACATTCGGTGATTGAAAAAATATTTCTGAATGGCTATGTTTAAATCAATACACACAACCACTAGGACGCTCACAGACCCATTGATACCATACTTCACCTACCTAAAAACTGACAAGGTTCACTAGGATAAAATTATTTGCCACTTGACCTTTCTAGTGCTAGCTCTTGGCGCTGGTCCCTCCTATGTCAGAGTGCTAGTCCTAGTGAAACTGTGAGCTGAATCATGTTTAGCAGAACCATTATGGAGCGAGTAAAGGAAGGGCAGCTGCTGCCAAACCGGAAAGCTTCACGCTGCTGGAATGCTTCTTAATACAAATTAAGAGTCAAGTAGAAACTTCTCCGCTGTGCCAGAAACTGGATTTGGATTTTTTTTCTCTCTCTCTCTTTTTCATTGCCGTCCTATTGACAGGGAGAGAGAGCAGACTCCAGACACTTCATGCCTACATTTCAGGCTGAGTGGCAGTGACTCAGTGGCCTGCTATTCAGTCTCCATTCTCACTTTCCAGTATGCTGATGAGTCCCGAGCAAACGTCACCGTGTTGGAGGCATGCCTGAAACTGCCGTATACAGCGCAGCGCTAATGCTAACTTGGCTGAGGTGCACTGCTGATGTTTTTTTTTTTTTTTTTTTTGCTGAAGTCATGTTGCAACAGTCGGTTCACCAATACTGCCTGCTCGAATCGATGCCGGATTATTAAAAACGGCAACAAGTTGCAAATCTCAGGTCACGCCGAGGGCCTTCTGAAGCAAAAATGTTTATTTACGACATATTAAATGTGTTGACCTTAACATTACGCACGGTTCAGTGAATTCCCAGGGGAAAGAGTCTGTGACAAGCTGGCGGGAACTGCAAAGTGACAAGTGACGCCTCCCCCACCTCTCCTTATACTCCACTAGCGCTCTCCCTACTGCGTCTGCTGTAACATGTGGTTGAAGCAGCGTGGCAGGCATTATGAGTGGTAAACTGCTTATCAAAGAAAGCAGAATTAAAAGCATGATTAGTACAAATCTACATTTAATGAAGGAAAAAAAATAATCATCCAATTGAATAAAATAAAAGTGAAATAATCAGAGTTCTTTCTAAAGCATAAACTGTTGCTACTGGCAACACAAATCAGCGCTGGGTTTGTAGCAGTGCCTTTAATAAAGCATTGAAGAAGAATCATGCAATTGCAAAGACATATTAGGTAATTGCCCTGTATTAGCTACCATAAATATTCAGTAAAAGCATGACGTTAAACATTTTAGTTTTTAATCTACGCCACCTGGTTTTGCACAAGAAATAAGAACATTTGAGGGGAAGAGTTCATCACCCTAAAATAAATGTGTATTTTTTTTTTTATCTTCTTTGTAATAAACATTACTTTTTAAAAATGCGTTCAGACAAGCCGAGGCTTTTTTTTTTTTTTTCTGAGTCAGGAATGCAACCACCAGAGGGTGAAATGACTTCAGTCTTCCCTCCCATAACAAGAAATTAAATTTCAGACTTCCTTTTTACATTAGCTTTGCTATTTGTTGTTGATTAAAAGCATATGAGGAAACTAAAAAGGAGTTATAAAACTTTCCCCCACCCCACATCACTGAGCCAATTTTCTTCCTGGTTTGGCAGCAAATTGGCTTTCATGCAACCACCTTAAAGTCAGACAACTCTTAATCATCTTTCACTGCCAGAGTTGATTAGAACAGAAGAAGTGGGAGGAAGGAGTTGTCAGACTAAAAGAAAGTCTGCAGCGTTTGTGTCTGGTCCAGACCGACTCCTTATAACACACAAGTGTAGAAATAATCCAACTAAATAAATAAGAAAATAAGCAGTCTATCGATAAAATATTCCTGATTTGTTGCCACTTTATTTTTAATGATCACAGACTGTTATTTTCACACGATGTGCACTTTAACATCTGGATGACATGCTGTCTCAGTGGAACCTCAAAGAATCTTTTTTTTTCTTTTCTTAAACAGATGGTCTGAAAAATGACCAGAATCAGCCAGCTATATGCTTGTCCTTCAAAATTGGCTGCTCATATAATGCAAATCCTACTCCATTTCCTTGATAAGTGAAGGTACCATGCTTAAGCCCCAAAAGGAAGCACTAACACCACTCTTCGGAGTGGAAGCCGTTACGGAGAGATGACTCAGCTTTTTACAATATCAATACAATAGTGCTGTGTTGAAGTTGGGGGATACGCAGCTATTAGACGCTTTGAGAAAGTTTTCTGAAAGTTTATTTAAAGTTAATTTATATAGACACTTAAAGCAAAGAGATAGATGTCCTTGGGTAACAGTGAGGCTAAAAAATCCAAAGTGACGGGACTCAGTTTATCCATCTGTCATGAAACATAGAGGGTTTAAATGTGTTGGCAGTCATTTGGAAATCTCACAGTTAAGTTAAGGATCTATTTTCCATGCCAATGTTGTTGATCAGTAACAGATGCGGATGAAGGTTTAAAAAGCTCAACTTTTATAATGATTATCCTGTCAAACTGCAGAGCTGTGTAACACCTACTGCTCTTTCACATTCTGGCCCTAAGATAAATGAAAGGGTTGCTTAAAGCTGCACTATACAACCTGTAAAAAAAAAAATTGTTTTTTACACATTTGTTGAAGCTGTCACTGTTGTGACAGTATGACGGATAATGAGAAAAACCTTGAACTCCCAGTGCTAATTAGAAACAACCAATCAGAAGGGCTGGTCTTGGCGCTGTCCATCACAATGTTATGTGGCGCTACTCATTCTCTTTCCCCAAACCCTTTGTACTCTGATACCACTACAGCTTCATCTTTTAACAGATTTGCTGTCTCATGACATTCTGTGGCAGTTTTAAATACATAAAAAACACTCTTTACAAAAAGTTATGTACTTTTATATGCAACTATTCCATGAGAATAGAGGAATAAGTCATCAATTTAATACACCTGGCAGTAAATAAGAACTTTCTCCTCAAATATTAGGTAAAAAAGCATGTCAAAAATGTATATCCTTTTCAATGATCAAAATAAAAATCTTTATTGGCATCTTTACCTCCCTCAACAGATTCAAGTTTGGACTACAGCCGTCAGTGATAACATGATATCCAGCAAGCATTTAAATGTTAGTAAAATTTTAATAAACTATTATATTAAAACATACACGGAAGAGGGTTGGGGCCACTGGAAAAAAATAATAAAACAGTTCTGATTTTAATCTCAGAATTCTGAGATTAAAGTCAGATTTTTTTTTTTTTTTCCAGTGGCCCTAATCCTCTTCCGTAAACATACATATGCCAGGGGTTTGAGTAATTTTGTATAAAACTCTAAACTATAATAAATGAGAGGCCTTGTAATTCTTTGTAGTTTCAATTGTTGCGTAATCGGAATGATTTTATTGCCTCATTCTGCTTCACGGATCCGGCTTTTGAAAAAAATAAAATAAATAAAAAAAATATATATATATATATATATATATATTGAACTGTTATTCATAGTATGAAACAAAAACTGATAAAGAAATGAAAAGATCTGTTACAAAATCTCTTACCGGTGCACTGCTAATACTTTTCTGAATTCATATTTGGAGTTACACTGTTATTCTAATAAAGAAATAAATAAATCAACTATATGTAACATATTTGAACAAAAATAAATAAATAAGGCTCCTCTAAATTTATCACTGGGTTAATCTCATCATACATAAAAACTATAAAGGAAAGTCATCTGTACCTGGAAAAGCCTTTTCCACACACAGAACACACGTAGGGCTTGTGGACGCCTCCGTCATGAGAGCGAACATGGTAGGTCATTCGATCCTTCCTCTTAAAGCGCTGCTGGCAGATAGGACACTCGAACGGCTTCTCGTCCGAATGGGACAGCTTGTGGCGGTTCAGGTGGTAGACGTCGCGGAAGGCCTTGCCGCACATCTCGCAGCCGTGGTTTTTCTTGACGGGCTTGGGGGGCTTCTTGGGGACGTTTTGCTGCTGCACGTTGCCCATCGCGGACGAGGTCATGATGCTGGTGCCCGAGGACACCGAGGTGGTCGCCGTGGAGAGGATCCCCGCTACCGTAGAGATGTAGGAGGAGTTGCCGTTATTCTCCCGTGGCATGGAGGCGATCATGGGTACCATGGTGGGGGCGGTTTGGGCCGTCTTCTTCGGACGCGACACCATCTTGATGCCGGTATGGCTGGATTCGTGGCGTCTCAGGTGGTAGCTGTCTCGGAAGGCCTTGTTACAGTAACCGCAGACGAAAGGCGTTTTGCCTTTGTGTTCCTTCTTTATCACGGGCACCGGGGGCCGCTGACCTCCTCCGCTGGCCACATTGTCTTTCAGGAGTTCAGCAGCACTGACGGGGGGTTTCTGGTCTATCTGGATAGGCAGGACAGGCTTCTGGTCAACTTGCTCTGCGCCAGCATTGAGAAGTGGCAGCAGGCTATTCTGGGCCACCTGGTGCTGGTGGTGGAGGGCTTCATTGGCCTGCTAAAGACACAAAACACACACGTTTTGGTGAAATGTCAGACATTTGGAGGTAAACGATTCAAAAAGCGTTTCGTGCCGTTTGACACACAACAGCAGCAGGGAGTAGTGCAATTTCAGAGCATCTAGCCCTCCTCCACGTACGCAGAAGAAAAAGCAAGTTGTTGCCGACAGCTGTTTCACCACTGGAAGCTGCCACTGAAGAACCATGAATCAACTTTGACAACTCAATGAAAAGCATTAGGAAGATTTAACAGAATACAAAGTGGGCACCGGGGTCCGTCATTAACGAGGCCGACGCGGCGCGCAACTGATGCGAAAACAATCCAAATATACTGGATGAAAAATGATCCCATCACGACGGTGCTGATTCATCATGTGACTGCAAAGCAAGCATACCAAATTAGAGGCATAGCAGAGTCCAGCTTAGCTGCCAAGAAGGCTCATGAAGAGCAGGACATTAGCCGCGCCGCAGAGCTCGGTTAAGAGGAGAAGAAAGGCGAAAAGAGAAAAAGAAAAAAAAATAAATTGGATTTAGTAAGGCAGAAAACAGCTTGACACACAAAAATACAGGTCACCAAACTTGATAGGATGATAAAATACACAGTTACATATTTGTTTGTTCTGTCTGTGGCCTGGTGCACCATTTTTTTTTTTACAGGGTTTTGCAGGTGCAAGCCAGTGTGGATGACTGCCAAAACATAGATGGGGGGGGGGATAGGTGAGAACAATGAGCAGTAGCTAACAACAAGTTGTGTGGCTGCAATTCAAAAATTCAAGTCATTATATATCCTGACTTGGTAATAAAAGAATTTATGCTTCTTTGTATAGCTGCGTGAGACATAAAAATATTGCGCAAACTGAAATGAACTGATGCATTTTGTTTGGGTTTACGGCAGAGCAGCAACGAATATCAACGGTTATGCAACCCAGTCTACAAACTAAAATCAGGTGCCTTATATCTTGGTTTTGGAAAAGACATGAGGCAAAAACAAAACTTTATAGCCACCCCCAGAAGTATATAATCTCAAACGTCCTAATCGAAGCTTGTGTTTAATTATTAAAACTGGCCGTCAAACTGCACTTGGTGATTCAGCTCTTTGTCGTTCTAGATGTTTAAGCCTCAAAAGTAATATAAAATTAGTCACCCACAAAGTGTACAATTAGCACAACTCAACGCTGTTTGGACAGAGCTTTGCTCAATTTTCCTAAAATGACTACCAAAGTTTGAAATCTAATGAACACAAAGATGGCTTTGGGATGAAAAGAAGTTTATAGTTTAGTCGAAGAATGACAGTGAAGTCGATTCATTTCGAGGTTCTGTGAAACGTTACTGACAATCAATTCAATGGTATAAAAAAGAAATTGCAGTATTCTGATACAAGTACAGAAAAACAAAAATATTTGATGTTTTAATAAGTAAGAGCAATTAAGGAGAAGGTGCAGCCAATACAGCAGCTCAGTTGCCTGAAAAAAAGTGGCTTTCATTTCCATAACTATGATGCACTTATACTGTGTAAATATTAACCTTGCTGTGTATTGCTACAGGCTGACTGACGATAAGTATACCAACATTTTAAAGCAATTCTTTCAAAATATCTAATGTTTTCTGTCATACATTTCCAAGCATCAGATTGAAGCTTGTTGCTCTACAAAGAACAAATTGGCAAAATTGATTCCCTCCTTGGAACACCTTTAATCAAACTTTTACTCGATATTGATACTTCAGTCTGTGTATTAAAATAAATATAAAGAATAACTTGGAAATATGATATCACACGAAATTTTGCTGGACGATATATTTTCCCAGTAGTTATTGCGATAAATGATAATATTGTTGATTTGAGACCATTTTCAAGTAATATAATAGTAATGGCATCGTAATGCAAGAACACATTCTGAAAGATCAATAAGCTTTAAATTCTAATGAACTTTTTACACTGGAACTGGAAGACATTTGAAATATTCAGCATAAATAAAACAACAAATAAAATGACTTATAAAGTCTCTATAAACAAAATTGTCCCTTCAGAAAAAAAAGGGGGATAATTGAGAGCAAAGCACCAGACTGAAAACTTTAGTCATCCAGTTTTTGGTAGAAAGAGAGAAAATCTATAAATTATGCAAATGAAAATTATTGAGCTTGTTTTCATTTATCATCCTATTAACTGACTTATTGCTTATTGTGACAGGCCTATGTATAAAAAAAAATAATTTTATGTTTCAGTCAGAGTAAATCTTGCTTTTCTGCTTGAAATAATTAAATTACACTCGACGTTAAATAGTCTCGATTAATTTTGTTTTCTAAATATTGTTTACATAAGGTTATCTGATCACGAACGTTTTGCTGGTTGAAAATATACATACACAAAATAATTTAAATAAAAAAAAAGGAAAATAATTTTTAAAAAGTTGCTTGTATTGAAGTATACCAGCAACTTTGTATACTTCTGATATGTATAATTTACATATCAGACTCACATAAACACAAGGATGCCTAGTAATACGGCTTCAAAGGAAAGGTGAACCAATAAAATATAACCAAGAGATTTTGGAAATTGTATCGGCGTTGTTCAAACCAAAAAGTTACTTACAAAACATTTGTTTTACACTTGTACACTGAGATAACCCTTAAGTGGAAAGCTCCTACAAATAAAAATAACTTCTTTTAAAGCAAACCAAGTACTTGTAAAAAATAAATAACTATGCATAACATGCATCATTTACTTAACACACTCAGCAGAAAGTCAAGAAAACCACCTTGTCAACCACCAGCAAGAGATGGCAAGTTAACATACTTGACCTTTCCCTTTAAGGTCCAATCATCCATCCAAGAAGGCCAGCCAAGACAGGAGTGGCAAAAGAGGAGACGGGACGGAAAAAAGAAAAATGAACCACACAATGTCCTCCTTATGTCATCTAGCCCATTGTGATAGACACAAATCTGAGCAGTGATGCACTCGGCCTCAGCGGGGGATCTTTGTATGCTCATCTTCATTGATTTGGCTCATCTATTCATGAGACAGAGACATTGTTTATCCACACAGCACTCGGCTGAACTAGCCGTCATTCCCTCATGCGCACTGGGACCTGGGAACTCGTAGAGCATGCCACCACCCATTTGTCTGAGCACCTGCTTACACTTGCCACCTTCCAGGATTAGTCATCATCATGCCAATGCAACCCCGTCGGCTGGCACACCAGGGGTGGTGTGTGTGTGTGTGTGTGTTTGTGTGTGTGAAGGGGCTGGTGAGGGGGGTGGGAGGGATACCAGTCGGGAAACCTCTTTGTGAAGCTTATGCCACTGCAAACAGCCTGGCCTGTACACAGAGGTGCAGGGCCCTGTAAAGCTGCTGTGCCTTCATGCAGCTCTGACCATTTTGACACAAATGTGCTCCGACAACTGGGGCTGCTCCCTCATAAATAACATCAAAATGGAGGGAGTGTCCTGATGGCTTCGTGGGCCACTGTAGACTTGAATTGAGCTCATGGTCTGATTATGCACCGCCTTTCCTCAATCTTTTGTGCCGCACTCTACAGCTGCTTGGCCAATTGTTAGAATAAAGCAAATACTAAACCAGAAGTTGTGCAGGAAAAACTAAGAAATCAAACGAGAAGAAGAAGAAAAAAAAAAAAAAAAGTAGATATGATTACATGATCGGTCTTTAAAGTTTTCCGGACTGCGGATTAAAAAGAAATGAAAAATGTTTGCCGAGTAAAACGGAAATTGTTTGAACGAGTTTGTTTTGTGAGTTTTTGTTCCACTGTTGCAGAACTATTGTGCTGCCGTCTTAGAAAGAACTCACAAAAATTGCCTGAAGCTGAATGGGATTATTAATGGTAAAATTAACATTATATAGTAAAAATGACAAAATCTCTTGTTATACGTTTTATAAAGTCAACCTAAGTTCTTGGAAAACAGAACTTTCTATATGTCGTCGATCCTCTTTTGCCATGTAAACCTGGCTAAACTTTGGAGGCGCCAGGCGCTGATGATGTAACTTGCAGCGTGTGCTATAAGCGAGGAAGTATTTTTAGGGGATACCTGATATATTCAGTTGGGGTTTGCACTGCATCATAGAGCAGGGTGATTTGAGCAATGCTTAGTTATCTCACTGCGTCATTTAACTCAAATAGAGAAGGACCTCCTCTGACAAGGCTGACAAAACTACCAAAGTACAACTAAAGTTTTAAATATTAGCACCTTTAGAATGACAATAAGTTAGTTTTCAAAATCTTTTCATGTTAATACATTGGATTTTGTGTAATCCAATTTATTAACAGCACATATTCACTATATAAAGCAGAAAATCCATAAGTATGTTTTTTTTTTTTTGCTTTATTGCTATTCATTAAAATAGCAAAAACAATTTTCATCACAATAGGCAGTTAAAAAGATTATGAAACTATATGCCAACTTGCCAAAATAAAACAAACAAACAATCTATACGTTGTAAAAACTCGAGACTTTTGAAGAAAAGCCAAAGAAACTAGAAGGTGGCCATAAACAACAGCAACAAGTGAACGGACATTGTAATGCTGATGTCAAGCACAGCTGGACATGAAAATTTGTCATTACTTTAAAAAGAAGGTGAGTAAGAGATCAAAGTCAAACATGTACTTGATGTGCTATATAACAATCTGGGGGTCATGGTATGCGATTTATTTTCTGAAATATTTTGACAGCAAAGATATTCACAGCTTATAGCTGACTGAAATATTTTTTTTTTCATTGAAAATGTATAAAAACATGTATTTAAAATAGCTTAAAATATACATATATATAAATAAAAATAATGAAGCTTAATTTTCGTACTAATTACAGCTTTTGGTTTTTTTTTAAATGCTTTTTGTAAGGGAGCTAGGCTTTGAGGAAGGATTTCATTGGCTGCAGCCTGAGTGCAGGAGGAGTCATTAAAACATGCTTTAAGAGGTTTTCAAACTTGCAGCGACCAGCTAGCACACAAAATTAGCATTTCGACACACAAATCAATGCCTGTCTTCCCCCCCCCCATTGATCTCTGAAAGTTAGCAGTGTGGGGTACATAACACAAAACGTTAACAAGCTGGATGGCAGATAACTGAAACAAAGCGCAAATATAACTGGTCATAAAATGCCAAAAAGCCACTTGTAGAATTTTTAAATAAAATCTTGATTCTACTAGAACTGCTTTTGACCACATAATATAGTCTGCAGGATATACAAGGTAATAGGGTTTCTGCAAGTGGAATAATTAAAATCTAAGATTTTTACAGCAGTTATTAAATTTAAAAGAGATAATTTCCTAGAAATGTATAACTTAGTTTAGAAATTATATCAACTAAAGTAATTAGAATATTGTTCACTCAAGTAATTGCCTTTCAACTGTGGTCTGTAAGTTCAGTGCTTTTTTTTACACCAAGGTTATTTATATACAACCAATTTTTACTGCATAAAGTAAACTTTATAAAAGTTACTTATAACTAGTTTTTAGACAACTTACAACCTTGTCTTCAAGATATACATCATTAAATAAACACAAATTGGTTAAGTAAATGATGGACTTTGTGGTCAATGAAGCCACAAAAGTTATTTTACAAATAAAAAATATATATTCACTGAAGGAAAAAAAGACAAGTGTAAATAGGACCTACTATGGGAAATTTTTTGTGTGTATTATACTTTTAAATAAGTGTCAACATTTTTAATTCAAATATTTTCAACTGGCAAAATACAGTAATACCTATGCTCGAAAGGTTCATTAGTATAAGTTAAGTTGCTAAACAGCAGCAGTGCTTTCTGAATATTTTTATTTATTTATTTTTTTCTTAGTATTATTGATTGGTTAAAGTTCAAAAACAGAGTTTAATCAGTCTATACACAGCAAGAACTTACTAAAACGGTTCTAGTTTGGGAATCAAACTTGAGCAGATGTACTTTTAAAATTACCTTTACACAGTAAACAAAAGCAACAACACAAAAACTTATAAAATACAGCCCAGTATTTCTGACAAATTCAAAATCCTATTTTTTTTATGTTGTATTTCTAAGGAAGCTTAATTCTTTAACTCATAGCCAAGTCATAAAATTCTTAATAAAACTTTATAACACTCAATTTAAGAATGGCGTTTTTATGCACAGTGAAAAGACAGCGAAATTACTCAAACTGAAAATTTTTACTTAACTTTTTGGGAGAAATGAACATTTTAAATAGCGATGATCCTTGCTAATTTTCCAGCCTGCTTCTTGCTGTTAGCTAGTGCATTGCATAGTTTGAATTCCTTTCCACAAAGCTCATCTGAATAAATAGCTAATTAATGTGCAAAAAACTAGGCATCGCTGGTTTTCAAATTATGTACCGTTCGTTCCTCCAAGCTCATTACTGCAGCCTCGCCCAGATTTAGCCAAATTAGCTTGCGAGTGTAATGAAGGCAGCCTAAACATCGTTAGCTTCTCGGCTAGTTACTGCGAACCGGCTAAAGCAAGCGGAAAGTTGACCGCGGACTTGGGAATTGCCGTTAGTAAATCTCAGTGGCGGCTAACCTACGGTCTGCTAACATCATCCGCGTGAATAACGTACAAATGTTCAGTTTACTACACATGCTGCACAAAAAATGTTCGCCGACGTTTTATCTCTTTATTCTACGGCGTCCGATCAAAGCCTTCAGTCAAAGGGGGGAAAAAAAAAAAAAAAACAGGTCTGTCTCGATTGTAACGGTGCAGTGTCGTCTCCAGCTTTACTTCAAGTGATACCGCATGTTTTGCTGGCTTCGACCAGCCAAACAAACTTACCAAAATTCACTTTCCCACTCGAAGTATTTCGCATCCACAATCTAAAATTACACACAGGCCGTTTTTTTCCACATTGGAACTGGGGAGATTTGATTTTTTTTTGTTCTAGCGTCATTCCCAAGCCTCACAGCTGGAAGCCTGGATTCATAAACCATTGTTTTGCTTCGTTACTTGTTCTTCGTGCTACTCGTTCAAATATATAAAACGAACTTGCTGCTAAGCTAACGGGTGCGTAAAATGTTTGCGGTTGTTTCGCGAACTCTCCCGGTTTCCCTCCCAAAAAAAGAGCCAACTTACTTGGAAGAGAAACGTACTCCAGCTCGGCTCCATTTCCACACTTACTGATTCTGTAGGAAAGCTAGTAGAAGCCTACAACAAAGCAAGCAAACATGGCAGCTGAAACAACTTCCGCTAACCTCCAGGGCTGAACCACTTTTCGTACTATTTGGCGGGGAGTGTAAAATTTGCTGTTTCAAACACACTTGGTGTTATTGTGTGTGAGACCGAGACGTTATAATCAATTAAAGAAATAATAGCATCTGAAAACATAAGTCAAAAATGCATTTACAATAAATTTCTTGAATCCTGGCGTCCCATTTCAGACGTAATCTTGTCTAGTTGGATTCAGAACACCCCTCCGGATGGTTGTTTTTTTTTTTACTGATGCTTTGAGGAGCATTTGTTATATTAGATTGTCGCATGTGGCTCGGGAATGGCTGAGTCTCTGTTAACATGTCACTCTTCTTTTTAAACTAAATTAGGAAAAAAAAAAGAAGTCGCGACTTGGTTCGACTCATAAACACGTATATACTCTATCCGACCTTTATATCATGAATAACAGTTTCACTGCGAAGACATGTCAGCTATAGGTGTTGAAATTTAGTTTTGATTTGGGATATGACTGAATGAAAACGACGGAAAACTCCAGGCTTAGATAATCTTATTGATCGGAAACTTTTTGGATTAAATAAAATGTAATGAATGCTTCAAATATGTCCTTAATGCAGAAACTGTTCATTTTTGTCGGGGAAAAAAACTTTCAAAAAGTCATAAGCTCAAGTCCTTGTTAAAAAATACTATAGTATTAGAACTGAATTGATTAGAAATATCCTTTATTGAGAAATTAAGATTTCATTGCAAGTTGAGTATGAATATTCACATTGAAACCAAGGTAGAGTATAAGATACTGTGCACATAAAGACAGCTTTACAACTTAAGAATGATACTTAGCTATTAAAACATATTCACTTTAGTTGTACCAGCACAAGTATATGCTTATTTCTGTGATGTCACTACCGATATTTCAAAACAATTTTTTTTTCTCCATGTGCATTTGGACTTTAAAAAATGTTTATCCCCGTTAAGACATCAGAAATTTAAATATTTATAAATTCCATCTGTGTTTAGATTTGTTATGTGACAAAATATGTGAGACAACGCTAATAAGGCACAAGAAACAATTACATCAGCAGTGCCAGTTCACAGTGATTGCAGAATGTGGTGCCTATCTGGCCAAATGAAATTTTCTCTCCTGGTGATTTTGTCATTATTGTAAACATGACACAGAAAAATCCAACCAAACAGAAATAGCAACATCCACTTCTGACAAAAAGAGAATTAAATAAAACACAATCTTTTAAGCTCGAAATCAAGAAACTATATGTTTACTTTCTTTGTCAGTACATTATTGATTTCTGATGAGAACATTCAATTATCAAAACATGCAGTTGGTAGCGAGTAAAAATGATTTAAAATGGGTGCATCTCTAAAAATCAGGACATCACTGAAAACTTTTTTTGATGATTAGATTTTTTTTTGTACATTGATATTCATCCCCACTCCTCAAGCAAATACTCATAAGGCATCAGAAATAACATTCAATCTGTCACAAACATAAAGACATTGGACTTATGTGGTGCCATTGTGAAAGGAGTCTACACTGCTTTCTGTTTTGTGGACATCTGGCCAGAGTGTGGCGTGTCTCCAGCCTACATACCAGAGGTTTTTGAAGAGATGAAAGACACTGATCACATACTGTTAAGATCTGGAACAAAGACAGCAATATGGTACTCCAGTGATGCTTTGATTGCACCTCATGGGAGGCTTATAAGTGGCCAGGCTTAAACAAACAAGCTGATGTGATGTTGGACTGTATCAGGCATGGCAATGACTTGTTCTTCTACACATCTAAGATTTATCCCAATATAACAAGCTTTAAGTATCAAAATAAATAAATAAATAAATAAATAAAAGGAAATTGGCTGGTCAACTCACAATTTGAGAACTGCAAAGATAAGTGAAAAGTGTTTTTGGACTGACTGCTGCAGGCATTTGGATGTTGCTGATTTTTCTCTAGTACTTGTTATATTTGCATGTTGTTTCTGGTGACTATTTCAGTTAGGTGTATAGGGTGAGCTGAATGCTTTATTGGTATTAAACTATATATATATTTGTTTTGTTTTAGACCACCTTTCTTTCTGCATTCTAGCTGTATAAGAAACCTTAATGTTGCCAAGTAGAATTTAGTGACAGCTGGGAGTTTTGTTTTGGTGTAATCTTATAAAAGTTATGCTACAGAATATTGTATTGTACACACAAATATTCTGCATGTGTTCAGGTATGAAACAAGGCTGGAGTTGTTTGGATTTAATACCAACCAGACTATGCCAGAAATTTTCAATATCGATATGCCCCCAGATTCAATACAAACAATGTATGTTAACACCAATTTTTAAAATGTTTTCAAGTTTTTTGCCTCCACAGCAAAAAAAAAAAAAGAGGGAAAAAGAAGCAAAGGCTTTTTCTTGTAACAATGATAGTTTCCTGTTTTCTGAAGGGAAGGAAAGTTTTATTGCAGCCAAGATAAATGTGCAAACGTTGGAATGTACATAAATGGGAAGAGTTGTTTACTCTTTGCATAAAATTTGATGCCAAATATCTTCATAAAACGTACAGGAACAAGTTGTTTTGAGACTATGATGACTAAAACAAGGCTTTTTCACTCTGCTTGATCTTTTTCCCAATTAATCTTTTCAACTCACAAAGTGTCTTGCATATATATAGCAATACAATATAGATATTTAGATTTTGTTACCTTTTGACCACAACCTTCTACTGTCTTTTTGGTGGTTTTATGTGATAAACTAACTCAAAGCACTGCAAAACCTTGAGGTAAACCTAAAAGGATGCAGTGATTTGTATCAAGCCCTCTAAGACAATCCCCTGTAGAACCACCTTGCTCTGTTCAAAACCCATTTATTCCGGGTTTGTGTTTACAGCTGTCATCCTCCTGGAATGTGACTCTTTGCCTCACTCTCAAAACTTTTGCCCCCCTCTAAGAACTTTTTTTTTTTTCAGGATTCCCATCCATTTGGTTTGATCAACTACCTATAAACTCTGAACGCCTTTCTACTTACTGTTGAAGAAGAGCATTCCAACATCATGATGCTGCCAGCACCAGGTTTCACAGTTGGAATTCTGCGTTGTGCTTTTTGTTTTGCTCTACATATAGTGTATTGCCCTTAAAGTTTAATTTTACAGCAGCTTAACATTCCTGGAGTAATTTCACAAAAGTGAAAGAGGTTTCTCCAGAAAACTTCATAGAAACCTTCCTGCCATTAAACATAAATACCATGGTTATTGTTCATATTAAACTCAAAGGATTGGATAGGTACCTTTAATAAGACCATTAAAAAACACCCAAGCTCATGCTGGACCTGTAAAATCAAGATGAATCTGCATTATGCACTCTCTTTCCAGCGCATTCTTTGAACTCTCTGTGAATGGCTGTTCAGTGAAGGTACCCCCATTGTACATTTCAATCTTTGTCCCACTGTACATTGAAAGCCATTATTCACATACAGTGCAATGAGCGTTTGAGTCAGAGTAAGAGAATATGTGTGGTCAGCCCATTCTCTCCATTTTCTGCTCAAAAGACACGATAACATCCAGCAACAGGCTCCATAATGAAAATAAAGCTATGCGTGTCGTGTCCTCTGATATTTATCCTCCTCTGAATATAAAAGCCTCGGACACTCCAAAGGTAAGCTCTTTCCAAAAAATAAAAAAATAAATATATACACATATAATAATATGTTAAATTGAGCTGGAGATATTATATATTTTTGGCCTGTTTTAATTTTACCTTTGTAACTTATTGATTAATTTCAATTAACCACTAGGTGTTTAATTAATATGAAAAATATTTAGAATTTTATGATCATCTAACTCATTATTCTTCCACATTTGTGAAAATGAGAAATTGAAGATAATTGAAATTATGCAAAAGTGGAGGTCACTGGTCTTTTAAAAGAGATATTTTGTTTAAAAAAAAGTGTCTGATAATAATATACATCTTAATTATAATTTTGTCTTCATAAAATGCTGATTGTGGAAAATTGTGAAGAAAATTACGCCGGAGTAATTGTTGACAAATGTTTCAGCTTCTGATCCACCCAAAATAAATAAATAAATAAATAAATAAAAAAAACAGTGAGTGCTCCAAATATATTTCAAAGTCATAGAGACATCACACTTACTGATTTGTGATTCAATTTCAAAAACATAATTACATAGGAAAATTAAATGTTGCAGCTCAGACAATTTTCTTCAAAATCCTGTTGAAGATGCTGATGCCAGTGGGCAGGAGTTATATCTTGTAGCAGTCTAATGTATAGCAGTGCTGAAGAATCTTCTGACTGAAGACACTCTATTGTTGTATAGTAGTTTAATGAAGAAAGATTATTCCTACCCACATACACTTCTGTTTAATAATGATACCATAATCTGAAAGAAACATGGGCAGTTTGAGCTACAAAGTAATTTCTAAAAATAGTCTAACTGAATTTAATAGAGTTGTGAAAGCCCATTTGGTTTAGAGAAAGCATTTTTTTTTCAGTCTGCTCAGATAAATTAATGATTTACTGACTGTATCTATCTTTTCATATATGGTGTGTCCTTAGAAATGGGGGATTGGACCATCCTTGGTCGGTTCTTGACAGAAGTTCAAAACCATTCGACTGTCATCGGCAAGATTTGGCTGACGATGCTGCTCATCTTCCGCATCATGCTCGTGGCCCTTGTAGGGGACGCCGTCTACAGCGACGAGCAGTCCAAGTTTACCTGTAACACCCTGCAGCCTGGCTGCAGTAACGTCTGCTATGACACCTTCGCCCCTGTCTCCCACTTGCGCTTTTGGGTTTTTCAGATCGTCCTCGTCTCCACGCCGTCAATTTTCTACATAGTGTATGTCTTGCAGAAGGTTACCAAGAATGAAAGACCTGAGGTCAAGAAGGTGATTTCGGTACCCAAGGCCTCGCCTTTGCTTGAAACAAAAGGACCTTTAAGAATTGATAAAGACATGATGCTGGATACTGGTAATCCTTATGATGATACTTCTGGAGAGGAGGACTGGAGCTCGGAGGAAGAGGAATATGAGGAGAGGACTCAGCTGGAAGGAGAAATGAAGGAAGTAGAGGAGGACCCAACTCAGCTCTCTAGTAAAGTGCTACTTATTTACATCATACACGTTCTGCTGCGCTCCATTATGGAAATTGTTTTCCTCATAGGGCAATACTACCTTTTCGGATTTGAAGTCCCACATCTGTTTCGCTGTGAGACCTACCCGTGTCCAAACAGAACCGACTGCTTTGTGTCCCGAGCAACAGAAAAGACCATCTTCCTCAACTTCATGTTCAGCGTCAGCCTTGGGTGCTTCGTCCTGAACATTGTGGAGCTGCATTATTTGGGATGGATTTACATTTTCAGAGTGCTGTTCTCTGCATGCTGCATGTGCTGTGACTCGGATAGGGAACCCGTGCAACAGGTGGCTTTGTACTCTTACAGCAACCCACTGTTGCTCGAACTCAAGCATTCTTTGCATGGACGAGTCGTCCTGCAGACCACCGCGGGTGCGTCCAGGGACCCAAATCAGGTCCCATCTATCTCCTTTGAGACGGATTCTACTTTGGAGTGCACTTCGGCTAGGAATTTAGATGAAAGGGAACACAGCAAGGCTAGAATACACAGTGTGGCCAAAATAGGACAAGGGAAAAAGTCTTGGTTGTGAATCCTTTTCAAACCCTTTCTGTCCTTTTGTTTAGATTTTCTTTTTTTTTTTTACTTTTTGAGACAGAATTTTGTTAAAGTACAGACATGAAAAAACTTGGGATTGTTTATACAGTATCCACCAGATTTAGTAACTCCCATAGTAAATGAAATCTTTTAAATAAATTACTCTTTTATTGCAGTCACATAATCTCTTAAAAATTGGGAAATCAATTGGAGTTCAAATAACAATTTCGGTGGTTGCTCAGAGGGTCTAGGAATTTCTAATTAGTAATCTATAACTTCATGTAGCATAAAAATTACATGTTCTGTATTATAATATCACACACATAAACAGTGGTCAGATTACAATAGGCTTTCAGACACTAATATATCAGGTGGGTTTGACATGAAACAATGGAAACAATATGTGGAAAAGCACTCAAATCTGCAATGCTAATTGTCATGATTGAGGTAGAATGTTGGGCCCAAATGCAGCAGGGAGAGGCATAAGGTAGAGTAGTACTTTTAATAAAAATGCGGAACAAAAACTTACAAGAAATCTCCGGGAGCCAGAGCAGAACAAAAACTATAAATCCAAGGAAAAGACAGCAGGGGACTGTCAGAGGAATCAACAGGATATAACAGGAGGGACTATCAATGAGTGAGAGCAGCAGAAGTGTGTAAGTACTGGGGAAAGTGAATGTGGAACAGTTGATCTAGGCTGATTGGCTACCTGACTGCAGGTGTGAGGGGAGAAAGAGAAAAGAAGGAGATTATACAGGGGACTTGAAAGTAAATGTAACAGTAAAAAATTAGTAGACATAAAGAACAAATTTAAACTAGAGTTACATAACTAGACACAAGAAATAATCGTAATAAGCTAGAATCGCCAAGAAAGCACTGAACTACAGTAAAACAGAAACAACACTGAGCTAAACAAAGAACAAGACTAGGAACACAGAATACTAAATCTGTTTTAAATAAAAATACAGTGCACTCTACCTGTCAACTGACAATGAATCATCAATTGGTCTTTCTCTAGGATAATGATTGTCATCATATTGTAAACTGAACACAGAAATAATCTATCAGATTAAAAAAACAAAACCAAAAAACTTTCATTTTATCCAGGATTTTACCATCTGGCAATACCGTACAAAAAGTAGTTATAAAATGTTATAGGATAACTCAAAGTGCTACTTGTATGGAAATGGACAGGAAACCAACAATTCTGCCACTTGTCATTTTGATAAAAGTTAATATATTTCTTACTCTTTGATTTTCCCCCTACTGAATAAATGTATCTAATTTTTGTTTTTTTTTTTTTTTTTTTTTTTTAGATTTTTCAGCAGTAAAATTTCTGAATTTACTGTCACTGTAATTTATTTCGGCAGTTATATTACCTTTTGCTGAAGAAAGTAAAAACATCTAAATAAGTTGACTGTCAATCTTTAGATTGTAATTACATAAGTAATCTTAATTTGAATAAGCTTGTCAAGTAGTAATTATTGCTAATTTTGTTTCAAGTTCGGATTTATATCAGATTTCAAATGCATTTGTGACTGACATGCTATAAGAAAGAAAACTTAAGAAAAATCTTTTAAAGCTTGTGACTTAGAATTAAAAAATAGCTTGTTGTTTTTTTAGTCAGAGATATATCTGAAATTATTTTTATTCATCTTAAAATTATGTCATTTTCACTTCATATATGTTAAAAAAAGGAAATGACTAACAATAAAATATAAAAAATACTGCTTTAGCAATAAGAAAAACAATAAAAAAACATAATTATGTTATCACATATTTAATCTACTAATGCTCTAATACTAATGTTGATTATTAATAGGCAAAACTCTATGGCAAGGGGAAAATTCTACATTTACATTCTCTTGTTAAATAAATAGTCCAGAAGGGGTCACTGCTCTCTAGTGTGCAAAGCGATGCGTTCACGGGCAGATGAAAATATTAAACTTAGAATCAATTAAAAAAATTGACGAGCTAAAAATACTGATCATCTCTTATATTGTATATTGAAAATGAAAATGCAATTGCACTTATATGCAATTGATACATAGTCTACTTAAGCTTACAGCTTAAAGCATGTTAATTTAAAAATATGCATAATAAACCCCCGAACCTCCCCCTTCCAGCGCCCCAGCCACTCGAGGAGCCCTCCAAGAAACACAGACATATAGATAAACTCACACACACACACACATATACACAGACAAAAAAAAAAGACAATAAGAAATCATTGTAATTCCCAAGAGTTATTTACGTCATAACTCAGTGCTCTAAATTCGGAGTTTAAGGTCGGTACATGAAGGCATCACGAGTACATTCCCTCACCTACTGACAATTAGAAGGAAAAAAAAAAACATGCCGAAAACTTCTGGTAAGCCGACAGCGCTGTCACCTTTGAGCAGTCCCAGGTAGGTCGCTGTTAGACCTTCTAAACAGCATTTACTCTGTGTTATTTTTATAACAGACATTTTTACACTCTGCTGCTAAGTGTTTCCTAAAGCCAGTGCTAAAGAATGAGGGCAAAGCAGCTTAAAGGGAGAGCATTATGGCCAAGCTGAGCACTTGTCAAAGCGCAAACAAGCGACACATGATAACGGTGACGGATACGAGCTTCAAGAAGACTTGTCACTTTATGAAACTCTAAATGTGTCGAAATATTATGTTTCTTTATTTTACTGTATCTTGGGCCTCAAAGGACACGATTAAGTGTGGATTAAATGCGAAATTTGTTTGTGTTCACCCAAAACTAAAGACGCTTTGCTATCTGTGGGTAGATGCATTAACGTTTAATTGTACTCCATCACTTTAGGGTGAGGCTGACAGTTTGAGAACGACGAAGATAACGTCAAAGCTCCTCTGAACAGTGCGTGTATCTAGGGCGACTTCAGATAAACTGTGTCACAGATGTGTAAGTGCACAGACAGAGAGGCTATTCCCCTTTTCTTTTTGTCTGTTCTTCCTAATGCATTTTGTGTCCTCAAAATTGTGTCCTTTCAGGTCATTTTGTGTCCTCAATGTAAATACAGTTGATGCAGGAATAGGAAGTGTCATTGTATTGTATCACACAATCTTAAACAACTTTTTGTTTTTGCATCTTCCAACTGTAAAGTTGTTGCTTACATAGTCCATTGTGTAATTATTCATGACAACTTTTTATATCTTTGCCATCTCACAATAAAGTTCTTTGTAAATTATTTTATGCGATAGACCAGTACAGAGTAGTGAATGAGTGAAGTGAAATGAAAATATTAAATAGTTTTTAAAATGATATATCTTAAAATTATGGGATGTATTTGTATTCCAATGTATTTTAGAAGTAACCTACTGTAAATAGTCTGTTTTTTTTTTTAAATCTGAGGATAAAAAAACAAACAGGTGTTTTATGAGTGAAAAAATGAAGTTAAAAGTAGAATTGGGTTCTAATATGGCATTCGAAGCTTAGCAAATCTCAGAGCCTGGCTCAGTTTATCATCTGGAAATGGAAGGAGTGTAGCACAACTTTAAACCTACCACTAAACCTGTCCACTAAAACTGATGAGAAGGAAAAGGAGAAAATTATTATAAGGAATTTATTCAGAGAAGCCTTTGAGAGGCCAATAAAAACTCTGGAGGAGTTGCAGAGAGCTCAGGTGGAAGAGTGTTGACAGGACAGGGTATGCTCTACATATGTAGACTTAAAGGTATACAGTGATTAGATGAAAGACAAAGGTCAAAAGTTTATATGTAGAGGGAGTCAACATACATGTGAAAAAGGTGTTCTAGTTAATGGAGACCAAAATTGAACACCATAATCAATATGTAGAGCACTGACCTGTGATGGCTATTCTTCAACTAGAAAAGAAAAAACTGGTCCAAGACCTATTAGGGGTGGAGTATAAATCCAAAATCACTTTTAAGGTTTTTATTTTTGAAAAATAAGGATCATGTATTCATGCCCTTCCAGTTCATGCACTAATTCAGGGGTGCCCAAGTCCTTTACTCAAGATCTACCAACCTGCAAGTTTTACATGTCTTCTTTCTCAAACATGTCTGAATCAAATGGCACATCAGCATCTACTAACTCTGCAAAGGCTTGAAAATTAGCCATTCATTTGATTCAGGTGTGTAGTAGCAGAGATACATCTAAAAGTTGCAGGATAGTAGAGCTCAAGGATTTGACTTGGGCCCCCCTCCTGTAGTTTGAGATAGTTTATAATGCAAAATATCATACTTTGTGGTTGTAATATGACAGAATAAAATTCTCACTATATGTTAATATTTTGGCAAAGCAGTAGCAACAAGCAGAAATAAATTTTTAAGTAATTCAGGGATGCTTCACTTATGTTTAGAATTATGTTTCTTTTAAGGCAACAGTTTTTTTTTTCCTCAGATTTAACAGGTTTTCCAGTAAGGCTTTGATTGGAGCTGTGTGAATGTCAGTGTTTCCAGTAAAATTCTAAAAATCTCATATTCTTTTTTTCTTTTTCTTCTTACTTGACTTCCCATCCATAGCATATGCTCCCACATATTTTCATAAGACTCTGATGCAAAAGTTGGACCCCCTTAAACAAATTAATCTGCTGAGTAACAACAAAGAACTTAAAGCATGTTTCACCTAATCAAGAAAGACAAGGAGAAGGAAAAGGAGCTGGGCAAAAAGGAAAAGAAGGACAAGAAAGAGAAAAAAGAACGGATGTCCCAGTCAGAGTTGAAAAGCCTGGAAGAGATGAGCATACGTAGGGGTCTCTTCCATGTGAACAGAGCGAGCACCAAGAGGCAATCTAGGACCAAGCTAGAGATCTCTAACCCTATTCCAATTAAAGTGGCTAGTAACACAGAGCTTTCTCTGACAAGTGTAGAGAAAGATTATCTTCCCAATACCCAGGAGCCTGACGCAAGACAAACGTCTGCAAGTACCTCTGGTGAAGATCAGATTTGTAATCAAGTGGAACCTCAGCGCTGCTCTGTAAAGGAGAGAGCAGCTAAATTTGGGGAACTGGCTAAGACCAATTCATCAGTGAGTCAGAGGCAAGCCACTATGAGTCAAAAGAGTATAGATGGTAGCAACCCAGGTCTCTCAGATCAGAGCAGGTCTACCTTCAATTCAGTGTCCTTTCCCAACCCAAAAGGCACTGCTAAGGTTCACGTTCCTGAGATTGTAGAGAAGACCTTCCCTGGCGTAGACCTACAGTTGCCTGTGCTCATCACTCCACCAGTACCAGATCCACGAGAGCTTGAGATTCAGAGGCGAAACACAGGGGACTTCGGCTTCTCTTTGAGGAGGACCACCATGATTGAGAGACAACAGGACGGAAGCGTGTGCCGGCGAGTTGTACATTTTGCAGAACCAGGCGCAGGTACCAAGGACTGGGCTTTGGGCCTGGTGCCAGGAGACAGGCTTGTGGAAATCAATGGAATCAACGTGGAGAGCAAAAACAGGGATGAAATTGTGGAGATGATCCGTCAGTCAGGAGAGGCAGTCCGGCTAAAGGTGCAGCCGATTTTGGAGCTTAGCGAGTTGAACCGCAGCTGGCTGAGGACCATTCAAGCTCTGCCCAAAGATATCTTCGATGTGAGTACAATTTTACACCTACTATTCCAAGTGCTTTCCTGTTTTTGCCTTGGGCTATAATTATGTGATGGGTCTTGTGGTCATTCCTACTTGGAAGAATTCCTCTGTACTTATCCAAAGTAATTGGTCAGTGCACTCTTTTAACCATGTAGTCTATAAACCCAAATATCAGATAACCTATTTACTCGTCAACATCATTTCTTTTGTCATTATGCTTCTATTATTGATTAGGGATGTTGTCAGAAGTCAGAGAGGCTTCTATCTCAATGTAGTGTCACATTTCCTCGTAACAAGTCATTGAGAATGTTCTGGCATGGAGAATACCTAAATTCAAAGCATGTATTATGTTTTTTCCTTTTCTTCCTTTTCTTCCAACAAACACAATTACATTTTAAAAGGGCACCAATAAATGCCAAACCAGCAAAGAACCTGGCTTATCAAATTATGGCGACCAAGAAACAGAATGGCAAACAAAAAGCTCACTAATATTTTTTTAAAACTGGACTATGAGAGTGATTTGACTGAGGGGACAAAAAAGAGACATCTGGACATAAAACAAAAATAAGTAGAATGTGGCTTATTGACAATGATGCGATACCTTTGTGTTATCAGATTCTTTCATGATATATTTACTGCCTCCCCCTACTTTGGGTGAGTTTAAGAAAGGTTTCTTGCTGCACAGGGAACTCCAAAACTCCTTTTGCAAATGCAGCTTAATGCGGGTTTCCTAAAGTGAGTGTCTATGTAGTTCGGATGTATTTGTTGACAAATTAAGTTTGCTGGATGTAGCATTTTGTGCCATATTATTTTTACATTTACAAGAAGGTTTTAAATGTTTAGTATAAGATATTTTTATATTGTATTATAAGATCTCTGGTCTGCATGTAAGGATCTTAAACTCAGTTTAAAACTGATTTCATGCCTGGAATACAGACTTAATGAACTAATAATTGAGATTATAGAACATTAAAAAATTAAGCATTTTTGGATTTGCAGTGTTGTTTTTCCTGAGTCAGTTATCAGTATTTAAGCAAGAAAAAGATCCCCACCCCTTCATCTGTTATCTTTCTTCATGTCTAGATAATGGGTATAACTGTTATGACACCAGTAATGTGATTTTGTGCTTGCTTGTATGGGGGAGTGTCTAGCGTGTGTGTATGGGTCTGTTTTGAAAGAGAGAATGTGTTCGGGTGTACATATAATCCCCCAGCCCGCCCCCCATCCCTTTGAGACCAAACAATGGGACGCTGAAAGAAACAACGGCTCGAACGCCACCACAGCCGATGGCCATATGGCCTGGTAAGACTTGGCTGGCGGCCCGTTCGGAGCTCTTTTCTCCAGTATAATCGTGGGCAGCAAGCAGAGGGCCATTAAGTTAAACTCTTTATTAGCTGGCACAACAAACACCTTAATTTGCGCTTAGTACTGTCTCTTGTCCTGGCAGAAGAGTTCAGAGAACAGGCTTGGTTTGGCCTGGTAGTATGCTATTAAGTCAGTTACATCAAGAAAGTTGGGTGAATTTGGTGAGTTTAGTTTGATGTTCACACTAGAAAATACATGTACATTCATTTGCTATTTTTAAAGAGCTGTTTGTCCTTTTCTACGTTGTTCCACATCCAGCCTGTCTAGCTAATTATGAGACAGGGCAAATGAAAGAAAATGTGCTTGTGAGGGTGACCCAGAACCAACAGAACTATTTATAGGTAGTTATAATAAGAACATGTTCTGAATCTGGAGCTCTGCTTCTCAAATTTGATTTGTGAAGCTTGACCATGTGGTATTTTATTAGTTTTTTTTCTGTTGTTTTATTGAAATGTGATTAACTGCCTCATGTACATGCGAAGATTGATGATGCTCTCTTGTGTGTCTGGTTGACATGGAGCTATAGCCAGATGATGATTGCAAGTGAGCAGTGACTTTGTGGAATGACTTTGTCATCAATGTGACGTTGCCCAGCAACGTCTGTAACTGCAGGGAGAATACGATAATAATAAGCCTGTTACTGAACAAAAAGTGGCTGGACTGGTATCAGCTAAACACCTGCTCTCTTGCGCTGCACTGTCTGTCCCTTTTTTTTTTCCTGCTCTGCTTCATCATCATACGGTTTCTGATTACAACTCTGGTCTGCTTTTGACTGCTTAATACCCCCCTTAGTTTTTCACACTAATCTGTCATCACTCCTCCCTTCCCCCCAAAAAAATAAAATCTTTTTCTCAATCTAAATCCATCAAGCTCAAAATAAGTCTTGCATTATCTGATAAGATTAGCATATTTGTCATTCTTAAAAAGTCAGTAGCAGATCCCCAACAACTGTTTTACTGTTCTGGAGGCAAAAAGAGAGGCTAAACTTGATTAAAGTAGTTTAATTTTTTTGTATTGGCCTGTTGTATTTTAAGCTGTAACATCAAACACTTTCCTGCTGTGTGTTTGAGCCAAAATCCATTTGAAATGACTTTGTTTTTGATATTTATTTAGTAATTATTGTTTGTTGTTTTGGTGCACATATCTGCATAACTGCTTTATATTATACTCCTGCATTTATAATGCATTGTATAGTTATATGAGGCCTGGTGGTGTATAGTTCACAAGTGGTTTTAGAAGACAGAAATTATTAAATGCCGTCATGTCTTCTACAACCTGTCTAGTCAGGTTGCATTATCCCCATTGTCAGTGGGCGGATACAACAGGGGAAGTAGTTTCAAACAGGAATTAGAAACAGGAGGAGTTTATTTGTATAAAATGACCTGGTTTATGACAAATCTTAAAAACACAAGGTCATTCTTTTCTTTCTATTCTATTGAACTCGTACGTAAAAACAGTAAGCAAAAAATTGGATCCTTTTATTTTGGGTCTTGAAAGCAACAGGAACTAAAAATCACATACTGTGTGACAGATACCTGACATTCCAGGGTGTGTTACAGACACCCATTAATTTTCCTTGAGGTGTATTTACTTGCTTGACACCTACTTTTCTTGTTGGCAATTAGGAACTGTGCTTGTACTGCATGTACATCATTAGTTTTACCACCAAATGTGTGAGAAAATGTTCATGCTTTAGAATCAATTCTGATCTTTGATCTCTGGTTAGACTGGAAGACGTAACTTTGTGTTACACATTTTAATGTAGTTTGAAATTATAATCACTTTAATTCTATTAGTTTAGAATCCACAACACAGGTATTTAGCAAGTCAATCACGCCCAATTCATATTCAATTAATTTCAATTTAAAATTACTTAATTAAATGTTATTGCTCATATTAGCCATGTTTCTTCAGAGATTTGAAGAGGCTGTTTGGCTGTGAGCAGGAAGGATGTCCTGTAGCAGCCTGTATCGCGGCAGTTCTGAAGAAGCCTCCGATTGAAGACACTGTTGTTGTGTGACAGTCTCATGAAGAGGATACTCAAAGATGTTTTCTTTATTTTTAAGAAGAAATAATCATGACCACACCATAATCATTATTGATTCCACAGTCATGCCTTGAACAGAAGCAACCTGCTTCTATTGTTTAGCCTTTGCAAGGCTAAACAACTGATGTTGTTGCCCCAACAGATGATTTCAGAAAAGATTACGCTCTCTACAACAGACTTATAGTAGAAATGCAGCATCTTGCCGCAAGCACTGAAAGACCTAAGTTTCCTAAAGACGTGAAGTCTGCTCTGTCCCTTCCTGTAGGTACTGTGGTCACTGTGGTACCTGCAGTTCAGTTTGTATTCCAGGTGAACACTGACTGTATTTGTAGTCCTCAACCACCTTCACTTCACTTCAGCCACCCTTGAATAATTAAAACTTAGGCCCCCCTGTAGAAACACTTAGAACTGCCTATATTCAGTAGTCGACACATCACATGTAACTTAATATGCATTGATATGTACAATGAAAACATCTTGGCACTACTGCAGAAGCTAATATTGTCAATCCTCGTTATTTCAGTTATTGGGGTTACTGTCAAACAGCATCAAGGACTTCAGCTCCTTGACTGGCTACTTTGTCAGTGCTAGCAGTAGCATTGTGCCAAGTTCCATCTTCCCAAGCTGCAATTTCTCTTGAATGTTTTAGGTATGCACTACAAAATTAATTGGTGAATAGGTGGATTTCTGCGAATAAGTTGGAGTTGTTTCACAGAAAAATTCGGAAATGCTGAAATATGAATAGGCAGAGGCCCACTGTATAATCAAAATCAGTTCATTTTAAAATGCTATTTGATAAAAAAAACAAAAAAACAAGCTGTCTATTATCCTGAGCTAGTATATGGTGATGGTGAAGGGGAGTCACTCCTTTTTGGCAATAAGAGCCCTGCAGCACAACCCGTCGTGTAGATAACTGCTCTGTCAGTTGAGGCTTCCGTTGGCTCAGCACTATTTTACTGCTGCGACTCACCATGCTGGTACATGCTTCTGTACTTTATCCCTGGGACATTAACCTTGCATACAAGAAAAGTGTAAAGTCTGCTGTTAGTCTTCGCTTTATGTTACAGTTCATGAGCCAGGTAACTAAATTCAAAGTATGGAAGGGTTTATCTGGGTCAGAATCAGTGGTTTCTGTGCCGTACAGTGTTTAATCTTTACTCTGTGCAAGCAATGTGTGGACAAATAGTCCACACATTGCTGCGTCCCAGTAACAGACTCCGGGGATTAGCAGTCTGTGCTAGACAGAGCAGGAATGCTGCATGTGTGACTGGATACTGCTCGCTGTTAACATTCAAATGTATGGGCTTAGCAAGAAAATTTATCCTATTTTATCTGTCGGGAGCGTTTTACAGGAAGGCTTAATTTTTGCACATGTTTGACTGGACATTTGCATTTATATGTAACACCAGATGCCTTTGCTTTTATCATGTCTGGATCCAAAATGCACTTGATTTGATCACCAGACAGCTGATGTTCAGATGTCTGGTGAATAAAGTGCTTGATTGGGGTGATTCATTCCTACCTAGTTCAGCCAGTTTCTGTGTTTCCTTGTCTTTGTTTCTCTGCTGCGTGCCAAGCTGACATTGAGGTAAATATCCGCCTTTTAGTCATTCCTCCCTAAATGAGGAATGACCCAACTGGTTTTACAACAATGACGTTTCAGACATTTTTTTTTTTTAGTTTTAGAGACCGGATAGGTAGGTTTAACTTTAATGTCAATTAGTTAAATACATTACTAATAAACTTTGGTATGTTGTGTTTGGTTGTTCCTTTTCTTGCAAAAAAGCAACATAGCATAGAATGTGGGTCAACAGAGTGCAAAAGCAGACCATGGTGTGAACTGTAGGTTTATAGCTCCCTCTTGTGGTTTTAAGTATAAAGTAACCAACATATCATACAGTTTAAAGATGTATAGTGGCCTTGGGTAAAAGAATTTACGCTGTTTTTTATGACTTAAAAAGCCTTTTACTAAAATATCTTTCCATTAAAGTAACCAGATATGCGTTATTCCATTGTTTTGTTTTGTTCATAAGAAGCTTCTGGGAGGCTTAAAAATGTTTAAGCACTGCTTGATTAGTAAGTCTTTATTTTGGATTCTTTGTCACGAGGAGGCCAACGTGGCAGTGAGATAAGGCGGTAACAGTAGTTTTGGAAACTCTATTAATATCCCCTCTGTATTTCAGCAGCTGTCCCTCTTCCATCCCCCGGCCCAGCTCTTCTCACATTACTCCCCCCTGCTATCTATCCCCGAGTCTCACTGTGCAGCTCGGACTATGTCCCCACCCTCGAGATCACCCTCCCTCTCGGGGCTTTGAGTGTGCATGCTCCCGTCAGATTCAGGTCTTACCCTACCTTTAGGTGTGACTGGACCGCTCCTGCGTCTGAGGCAAGATCAGAAGGTTAACCAGGCCCAGAGAGGAGGTAATGGGTTTGAACCTCTGGCAGATTGAGTGTGCTGTATGAGTGGGGTGATCTTCTCAGGGCTAACCTCTAGCACTTCCATTAGAGCTCTGATAGGGTCTTAGAATGGCCTCCTTTGCTACTCAACCTACTATTTATAGGAGTGGACGCTGATGAAAGCAGGGCCTGAGATGGTGGAGTAGTTGCTGTGTAGCTAATTCTTGCTGTGGTATCACCTTGTTTTAGTTTAACTTTTGAGAAACTGCTGGAAGTTCTAAAAACTTTTAGAAATTATACACGTCTGTGATATATCACTATTATATAGTGTTTGTTGCGGTTTTTGTACTGTTGGAAACATCTTTTGTGTCGTTTCCTCTGTCATGGATTACCCAATTTGTTCTATTCTTTTTAATGGAACACGTCTAATATATAGTACATTTACTGCATTGACATAATTTCATCATTTTATTCATGTTCTTTTTATTGTCAGTGCTTTACAGTCTCTCTGATCTTTTGCTGAATAACCCGTTGTGCTGAAATAAAGTCTACAGTATTCCATCGCTTATCCCTGAACTTTATTTCTCTTTCATTTTAGCCACAACCTTCATCCCTTCTTCTCTGGCTGACTCCCATTTTCTCCCTCATTCCATTATTTTGTTCTCCATATTCCAGTGTAAATCCATGACTTCTGGCCTGTCACCATGGCGTACAGATCACGCTTCTCCTTCTGGGAGCAAAAGGTGTTTCACCTCTGCATCATGTTGATTGTTGCCTGTACATAAATATTCATTCTGATGTGTAGAGTGTTGGTTTGCATAGTGTGATCATTCTGTTTTTTGTTTGGCTATGTCTTTTTATATAGGCTAAAGTTGAGAACAAAACAGAAGTAAGTTGTCTTTCAGATGCATGTGTTGCCAGCACGTATTCATTTAATGTCTGCTTGGTTTAAATATCACAATGAGCTATATTGAAATAACTTGGAGTGGTTTTGAGAGTTTAGCTTTTCATTTTAATGTTTAATGCAGTTTCTTGTTAAAACATTGTTTTTGTTGACAGAACTGATAATGGCATGTTTGTTTATGAGAAGTTTTACACATTTAAAAGAATTATCCAAGCAATCTGACAAAACAAGGGGGTAAATTAATTGTTTAAGTTCTAATGTCACATGTTTTGGTGAAATAAATTGTTTCTCTAATGGATGGAGCATTTAGATGCACTGATTAGTATTTTGTGCTCAATTTCTGATTAATACTTTTGCAAAAACCTTATCTGGTTCTGATTTCAGCTGACTAAAATATTGTAAGCAATTAAATTCTTTTTTATGCTTTGTGGAAAAAATGTCAAAATAATCTCCTAACACTAATCCTAAAATAAAATAAAACATTAATCTTCACTGATGCTGAAGCTGGTTGAGCCTTCCTAGTCATTAAGAACCTCAAGACCGAAGAGTGTTCTCAGCATGGCATAGTAGTGTTTAGATAAGATGTGATTATTGATCAGAAAAAAAAAATATACATTTTTAGTTTCTGACTGGCCAATCACCATTTAGAGCCAGCCAAGTTTTAAATCCAACACCAACCAATTTCTTAGTGCACCTCTATTAATTCCTTAAATGCAAAGCATGAACAATCAATTAAAGATTATATTAGAGTCATTGACCCTTCACCCTAATATTTGCAAGCTGGAGCACTTTTCTTCACCGCTTTTATTAGCAAGTAGATTTTTTGGGGCTATACTGCCACCAAGACTGTTATTCAGAAAAATTACTTCTCAATATGCATGTGCATATCAATTTAAACTTTCCCATTAACTTTTAAATTTGAAATTGTTGGGCTGTGCTGAATTTATTGGCCTGACAGAATTACTTGACCGCAAGTTTAAAATATGCAAATTAAAGTCCAGCTTAGAGCTCCATTCAGAATAATCTCCTTGAAACTTTCTCAACTCAGAACTTGCCCCAAACTGAGTTTTTTTTCTTCTTCTTCCTGTATCAACCACCAATGGAATAATCTATACCATCTTGCTTTGCGTCTGTCCAGTCTGACAGTAGTCAGCCTCAGTCAGTCACTAATCCTGTCGCAGACACAGCCAGTGGTCCACAACTGACTGCATCATCAGCTGAAGGGTCCAAAAGTAACGGTGCCATGGTGGGACCGGATACTCCTGAGCAGGAGGAGAGCACTGGTGGTAAAAAGGTGGTACGAGTTGTGAGGAGAGTTGTCAGGCGGGTGGTGCCTGCTGGTACAGAAGAGCAGAGTCAGCCCACAGCATCGAATACGACTCTAACAAAACCTAAGGCTGCTGGAGAGGACAAAGATGACATATCTGTGGGACTGGCCAGTTTGATGGGCAGAGTTCGAACCAAGGAGCACCGACCTCGCACCCGCACTCAGGACCGCAAAGAGGATACAAAAGAGGAAGTGAAGCAGCAAGAAGAGGAGGAGAAAGAGAAGGCAGAAGAAGAGGAGGTAAAATCATCAGTGGAAAAACAAGAAGAGGTCTCATCTGTTGCACCAACTGCAGCTCCAAACCCAGTGCCACCAAAGGCAAACCCCCTCACCCCTCCACCTGGTTTTTTACCCCCTCCAAAACCAAATCCTTTGGTACCACCTGCTGGTTTCATTCCTGCACCCAAACAGAATCCATTGACTCCACCACCTGGTTTTATCCCTGCCAAACTGACCAGCCTAGCACCTTCCAAACAAAATCTCTTGATGCGACCTCCAGGGTTCATTCCTGTTCCAAAGACAGATCCTCTGGCTCCTCCTGCAGGCTTCATCCCAAAGCCTCGTCTGTTTGGTATAAAGAAACCAGAGGTATTGAGTTAACATGTGCATGTTTGCCTTTTTCTCTGTGTGTAGCATGCTTTTTAACAATAATACACAAGGAAATCATCACGTAGATACATTGTCCTCCAACATCAACTTGAACAAAATTGTTTTAAAAAAAAGAATTGTAACGTTTTATTTCACATATGGAATCAGTCTGCGTAATCTTTACTGTTAGCAAAATCACTTTAACAAGATAGTTTTTATTGCATAAAAACACTTGGTATAACAAAGACACCCTGAGTGATTAGAAGCAGAGGGCATGCACAAGCTCATGATAAGGCTTCATCAGTGTGTACTCATTTCCTGCACTGTGGTTGTCTGGCCAGTTCAAAGTGTCTGTGAGCACTGAGCTGTGACTCCTTACCATCACTTTCTGCCAGAATAGATATGGGGCTTTGTTCTGTCTGCCATAGGCAGGTAAGTAAAGCCTTTAAATATTTCTTAAGGCACATTTTTAAATAATCAAGACAAAAACACTTGTGGTGTTCTCTGAAGTAATTAGTTGCTTTTGTCATACATTTTATATTACCTTTTGAGAACCAGAAACAATGTATTTTGTACATTGTTCAGGCTTATGGGTAAATAATTTTAGTTTAGTTCAATCATTTATTAGTTTCTTTTTTGTTTGACATAATTTGCATTGCCATAAGATGTCCATGAAATATGGAGTACAATGAGGTAATTGGCCCACAAGGCCAGACTCCAAGTAAATTACCCCAGAAATGCGCCATCTTGATAAGATACCGGTAAATGGTGTTACATAGGAGCAGCATTACCAAGGCTTAAATTGTTTTTTCAAGGCTTATTCTGCTCTTTAGGAGAACCACTTCAGTGTCTAGCAATAGCACATCTTATGGAAATGGTCAGCTCATTATTTTCGTTTGCCGACAGCTGTACAGTGAGGATGATGTGATCGGATGTGACAATGAGCATTGTCCATATTTGTGGTTACATTTTAAGAGCACAAAGTTGACCCGTGCCTCGGAAAGCTATTTCTATTGTGCCAGAAATGCATCAACATTTTGTATATGTTTTAGCAATCTGTTTAATACACTATTGACTGACTAACGACATCATAGTTTTGGATATTTATTTAGAAACATTTTAAAATATCCTTACCGGTAAGACACATTCTCTGGATTGACATATCATGATTCTCTGTCTGCATTGGGGCAAGTATTAATGTTTGGTGCTGAGGCGATTATGGTGTAGGTTGCAGCAAACGGTAGCTTATAAGGCGTCTGACATAATCTTGTCAGCAGACAGAAGCAAATATGGGGCAAAACTGAATATACCCCTGTAGTTGCTAAAACTGTGTACAAGTATGTTTCATTGAAGTAATGTCAGCCGGAAACGTGTATACATTTTTTTTGTTTTTTGAGAACTTTTCATTTCCATAAAGCACTTCAATCAATTGCAAGTTACAGAGAGTTTACCAAGTCTTAAGTCCAATTCACATCTTTTTAAGAGATTCCTCTTGCTGAATACTGGGTGTTACAGCGGCCAGTAGATATGTAAAGTGTTGATTCAGTTTAGAAGGCTTTATTTACAATCCAACATTATCCTTAAATTGCTTTAATTCTTAAAGTTTTGGTAAATTCTTATTTTTTAAGTAGGGTCATTACAGGCGCATAAATAGGAAAAATAAAGATGCGTTCGTTTTCGCAGCTCTTGTCCCTTTATGACTTCTTAAGAGCTAATTTCGATTAACTCTGCTCTGGTTCCTTGGGAAGAACATCCTGCATGTTCAACTAAGGCTTGTTTAAATTTTTCAAAATTACCCTCAAGAAATTAGCAGCAAATTGTTGTTGATACAACACAGATAAAAGCTGCGAACCATTTTATTCCTTAACTGCACCTCCTAATGAAGCAATTTTCTTTAACAGCCATGTTCATTTCCTGATTGAGTCAACCGGAACACCAAATTACATGGGAGTGGCAGTAGTTGATGGTAGCTGTTTTAGACTAAGGTTAAAATAGAATGCAGCCTAAAACATAATTGTCAACTGTACTGCCATCGCCTCATCTTAATGTCATCTCTGTGTGCGCATGTTTTTCTCTGTGTGTTTGTGAATATTTGAATAAATGATGTAAGGTAAAGGAGACGTCTTGCTCCCCTGCGGTGCCCAACGGTAAACCATCCCCTGCTGCACAGGAGAATTCTGCTGCAAAGGTACACATTACAGTGTGTGCTTTTCACATTTAGAAGTACTACATATTTTTCTTTTTCACCATATTCTTTTATTTGCTATCAGTTATCAGTTTTTCTTCCAGCAGACAGTTACACGGGTTTCTTTTGGTCCATTAACCTTACCTTCTGGCTATGGATTTGCAATTGTTGCTGCTCGATTTTAGGCTCCTGAGCTGATTCCGTCTGAGGAAGACCACAAGCGTGTCAGGAAGATCTTCACGCTAGATGGCAATAATGTAACTTATATTTGCCCTGTTGCTGGTCTTTATTCGGCATGCTTGGTCGGGGCTTTTCTGACTACTAGCTTGACTCCGTTGCTTGCTTATCCAGACAGAAGGCAATTTTTCTGACAAGCTTTCAAATTCTGGAGTTAATCTGCTGAAGGACACAAGTCATATAAGGTTCCTCTTACTGAATCCTGACACCAACAATATGAATCTATAATTTTTTGCCAATTTTGGATCACACAGTTACAGTTAGAAGTTTACATGCGCATGTCTCAGGCATCGATATCCGATAAATTTGGACATTTCAAATATTTGATGCAATATTTATGCTACAGAGAGGGGCTGTTGTAAGTTGTAACACAGAGAGGCCACATTATTGACATATAAAATGTTTGGGGTGGCTATTAGTTTTGGTCTTGTCATTTCTTTGGTTTTCTTCTTACAGTTAGGCACATCAATACAATATACTTGTCAAACTTTGTATAGATTTTGTCTGGTTTTTTCTTTGGAAAGCAGTATAATATAATGGTATTTTGGACAATTCTTCACAGCTGCGAGTTTTCCAAAATAAAATTGACAGTGGAGGGAGCACAGGAGTTGTCGTGTGGTATTGACATCAGCACCATGCAAAAATAACTTGGCTTGGAAGTCTATGTACCATTCTTTTGGGAACAGTAATGGCAAATTACTGGCCTGTTAGATCAGCCAGTGCCTCAAATTTAAATATGTACCTCTCACCTCTTCTTCTCGGAAATTATTTCTAATTATTGTTTACACTTTGAAATCCTGTTTCTTGTTGGTCACACACCATACCTACATCACTTTCCCGACCCTCAAAGCTTTCCTTGGGGTCAGCACTATAGCAACTGTCAAACGTGGTGGTCACAGTATCAATTCAGTTTGCACCAGACTGACAACAGGTTTGTCAGTATTGCCTGAATACTATTGCTTTCAAGAAGTGTGTCTGTGGCACAACACCAAGTAGTTTAAATGAACATTACCATTTCTGATTAGACATAAATATGGACTTGCAATTAAACCAACATTTTTATTGATGATTATAAAAAAAGTATGTGGTTTCTCTCCATAATAAATTCAAGTTTGTTCACCAAAGTCTTGATTTTAAAAATCAGTGACTTGTGATCAACCAGCTATGGAAAACAAACTGTTAAATGCATTATTAAACACCCCAGGTTTTTAGTATTCATGCCCATGATGATTGCATGAATCTTCTGACTGCTAAACATAAATGCTTTCTAGATTTACGGTTTAATAACTAGATGAAATGGGAGGAAGTGAGAGTGGTTCTGATAATCTTTGGATCGTTATTTGTTGGTCATTCTTTAGTAACATCTCTTATATGAAATGTATTGTATTATGTATTTTTGTGAAGTAGCTACCCTGCGCTGATATAACTATTTTGCCACTTCTGGATGTTATGGCCATGAACTGCAATCAGTTATATGTGTGTCTAAAGTGCAAAGAACTCTTTCTGCTCATCTTTTCTTCTTCCTTTGACCTCCAAAAGTCTGATTTTTCTTTTGCTTTTTTGTGGGCCGCTGGATCCTGCCTTGCTCCTTTGTGTTTGCTCTCTGCATGGTTAGAGGCCCAGAGGCCACAGAGTTTCTCAGGTACAGCAGATTTTACTGTGGACTCAGTGCACTCCTTAAGGCATTGAGTGCTGGAGTTAAAGCATGTTTTCCTCCACTGACCTCTCTGTGGCCTATGTTACCCTGCCTGCCTGCTTGTCTTTGACTTCCTGCTGTTTTCTTGGTTTGTGCAGAGGTTTGAAAAATACTAATATGAGATTATGACATAAACCAATGGGAGAGAGGAGGGGCAGTTGGAATTCTCTTGTCTAGGGTTCTTGACCAGGTTTAAGAAAGTATCAGCAAGTTTATATTTACATCGGTTCATATTGCATTGTGTACAGTCTTTGAATGCACATGTGCATTAAGTATTTCCAGTATTAAGCTGGAAATGGCATAGTCTTATTTAATCAGATTGGTTTGTGAGATAAAGGTTATTTTCAGAATTAATGTAGTAATAAACCTTACAAGCAAAAAGTAAAACATAAATGCACTCAATATTCATGCTTATCCATTTCTTTACACTGTAAAACAATAAAATGATATCAGATTAAACAGGCTGTTTCAATTAAAAGCTAAACTTTCTAGAACAGAGCGCAAAGAATTTTGTAAGTTTTTTTTATAGCCCATTTTATTTTAACTTTTTGTGATCAAGCAGAGGATGAAAAATCAATTTACTGTGTAATTTGCATTTTTAAAACAAATACTCGCAAAACTCTAGTTATGCAAATGAGCAAGTGCTTGCAGGCCTTAATGAGCAGCTGCACCTGGCTGATTTATGGAAAGTATTTCTTCGACACGAGAGCTGTCGGTTAAAACAATAGACGAGGTTATGGACCTCCTACGATACATGAATTATACATGGTGTGTGGCAAAAGATTTTTTTTCTCTTTCAAGCAAACTTTGTCTTCAAATCAGACGCAGTTGCAAACAAAGTAGAAATGTTTCAAATGGAAATCACGTCACTAGATGCTACATTTTTGGTCCCTCTATAATAGAGACCTGGAAAAAGAAATTGTCCAAAACATGAGACTCTTTGTAAGAGAAGGAACTGCAAGACAAAAGAAAATAGAATTAATGTAAGAAACAACAGAAGTTGCACCCAAAATTCTCATAATCTGGGAAAAAGTCTTTCAATAAAATAATACATCTTTTCAGAAGTTGTTAGTTCTGAAGTTGGTACATCAAATCATTCTGAGTTCCACTTGATTTACACAAAATCTTTTGCCACAGTTTTATTTTGTAATCACTTGATGTGTGGCAAAAAATATTTTCTCTTCCAAGCAAACTTTGTCTTCAAAGCTTAACATTTTTTGACTTTCTCTGAGTGCTTCACAGTACTGGTGCAGAAAGCCCAATGATGGAACCGATTCATTAGTGATGATACAACCAGTGTGACAGATACTCAAATAAAAGGCTTTGTAAAGGTTTCTCTGATTGCTCCTTTTTTGAAAGATATTTCTCTTTAGAAACTATAATTATAAGCTTTCCAAATATTTCTCTCCATCCCTCCCGCTGTGAGCTATGAATGATGTACTTTAGAAGCACAAGCAAAATTTCGCTGTGTGCAGTAGAGCAGTTGCTCTAAAAATGGGTTTTACTTATTTAAAACAGACAAATAATTCAGTGTAGATATTTCAGCATCTTTTGTTAGAAGTTAGCACAACTGGCTTGGAGACTTGCCAAAGGCTGTCGATGTATCCAAATCTAGCATAACCCAAAAAGAACAAACAAAAAAACAAAGTGACATTCTGCGGAAAGCTCCCCCTCATGTTTTTGGGAGGAAATTACTTTCTTTTTAAGGTCTTCATTGTATTTTCAATACTTTTGTTTGGTGAGGAAAAAACAGGGTGGGTTTATTCTGACCAGCTGATCTTTGGATAGGACTGTTTTAAGCTGAAAATTTCCACCAGGAGATATTAACATTGAGAGTTCTGTTTTACACCCAGAGTGGCATCTCAAATTAATGCCTCTGTTGCAGATAATATTTGCTTGGCAGAATAAAACATGAGTTTGTACTTGAACACCAACTACAGGAGTTGCTCTATTTAGCCTCTAATCCTAACAGAGTTGTTTGCATTTCCCTGCATTTTAAATTTTTTTTTTATCTTTTGCTCTTGCTGAAGTGTTATTTTTTAATTACTTACAATTAATCAGTTAATCCACTATTATTTGTTTCACTGCTGTGCATTTCGGTCTATTTTGGTGATTCCAAATGAAAATGACATTTACCTGTCGATTATGATTCTTCCCTTTTCCAGTCCAAGGTTGTTGAGGATCCAGTGGCCATCCTTCAGGCAGCACACTTGGCTGCAACCAAGGTCTGACCGTAACTACGGCCGGTTGCAGTGCTGATTGCATGATTTCTTATATTGTTGTCGATTCAAATGTAAGAATCGACAACAATATACAATTAAAGGCAAAATAAGTACACAGGTGTGATGGCAGAGTAACGCAATAATAACTTTTATTGCAAGAACCCTGTGAAAAATAACTGCTTTTTTTGTGTGTCCTTGTTGGATCAGATTCTAACAAACATGATCTTTATATCTGAAGAAAGAAGCAATAAAAATATTTTAAACATGTTTTATTTCATGTGGATTTCAACTGTGTGCTATATCAAACTCTAGGAGAGAGAAAAGCCAAAGTGTTTTGTTTTCATTTTTATTTGATCTCCCACAAGATGATGTAGTTTTCTGTGCATGACTTTTCTCTTGACATTTTGACCTGCTTGTACTCGGTTCTGTTTCTTTTAGTCAATCAAAGCAGGGTGTTTTACTTTGTGTGATGTTCTTGGTGTGGATGAAAAAAAAAAAAAAACTCGTCTTGCCTTCTGCCTGTGATGTCTTCAGAGGGAAGATGTAATATTAATCCTGACTGAGTTGAGTAAACACTTAGTAAACACTGAGTTCTTTAAATTTGTATTGGAAGGTAAGCCATAAAAACTGACATGATTTTGTAGAAGCCTACTGAATAATGGATTCAGGTTGTGAAACAAGAAAACAGACCAGTGCTGTACTTATCATACATGTACTTTAATAGCAGTGGAGAGATACAGCTGTAGAGTATATTAATTACAGATGCACCATTAGGAATTTTGTGGCCAGTTTCCAGGGTTTCTGTTTTGCGCAACAGCAATTTCTCTTTAACAGCTATACCATAAAAATGAAGAACAACATTCAAAACGTCTTCCTACCATTGGCATACATTGGACGGGAAGAGGTGATGTCACACTGTGTGAGAGAACAGTAGCTGTGAAATGAGATTTGATTATTTAAAAAAAAATGCAAATCATCATAGAGTTGACATTTCAAGCTGTTTTTAGCATCTTCTAATCACTATTGGCACTTTCAAAGTAGCTGTATTTTTTTAACTACTTCTCTATGTCTTTGCATAAGAATTAAGCCTTTTCCCTGAGATATTCAAAAGCCATGAAAGACAGTTGTTTAACGCTAAAGGGGATAAAGCAAAGCAACAATAGATGCTTCCACTATCAAAATCTTTTCTTGAAAATTGTTTTTTTTTATAGGGGTAAAAACAAATTACCAGGGTAGAAATTTGACACAAGAGGGAGTAACTACTACACCCAAAGTAATATTTCATGGTTTTTAAGCCATTTATGTTCCAGTGCAAAAATAAAAACAAACACAACCCCTGTGGATCATTAACAGATTTTTATGAAGGAGCTTCTGCTTTGGGTTGTGTTTGATGCTCGCATGAGACTCTAAGACAGTATGAAAATGGTGTGAAATCATCACAAGATTACGGCAGCCGAGTTAATGTCAGTATTACCTCCTCAGTTTTCTCTTCAAGTTCTACAGAGGCTTTCAATAAAGAATATATTTGATTGAGGTGTGTTGAACCAGGGGAGCATCTAAAACATGCAGGACAATGGTTCTTGAAGACACACCGTATGCTGTAAAACACTGTGCCTTCTTGCTGGTTCTGAAGGTCAACCTTGAAAACCCACAGACATGCTCTAGTATATCACAGAAATTACAGCAACCTTTTAAATAGATTCTAACATCTCTGTCCTGACTCTGAATGTATGTGAAAAAGTAGCATACTGGTGATGAAAGAGCCTACATTTTAGTCTTCTTCACTCGGTAAATAACTTCCACACCAAAGTGTGTTCCAAAATATAAAAAAATGCAATTAATGAATAAAAAAATATATATATTTTGACATTTGTAATGTTTGAACATTGAACAATCCTTCTGATTGTTTTGCTTTGACAGGTGAAGACAGAGGAACAGTTGAAGGCAGAAAAGGCCTGGTACGAAACGGAAAAAGTATGGCTTGTCCACAAGGATGGATTTTCTCTGGGTTTGTATTATATCATTATTTTTTTTTTAAAATCTGCATTTGTTATGATGAATAGACATGTTAAACTCCCTCTCCTGCCAGTGTCGGCATGTGGTGACATTTGATTGCGAAAAGTACAGATGTGGGTGTTTTGAAGCACATAAAATGCTTTTAGAAACGTTGCTGTTAATTTGACGGCTCTTGTTTACCTCAGACCGAATACATTTCCCGTTTGTAGTGTTCTCAAAACGACATGCTTTATTGAATCTCATGCATTATTAAAATATATGCAACTGCCCTAAGCCATGTGGCATGAAAGAGAAGGTCCAGATCAGATGTCACATTCAATAAATTTCCTAATTTGTGGTAATGCAGCCACTCTCTTGAAGACGGAGGCAGGCAGCCTGCCAGAGGGGAAGGTAAAAATCCGCCTGGAGAGTGATGGATCTTTATTGGAGGTGGAGGAAGATGATGTAGAGAAGGTACTTAATCATCACATCAACTCTTAACCTCATCCATAATCGAAGGCTCTCAGTGAGTGTGTGTGTGACCTCCTCTGCCTTTGAACTCTAGGCAAACCCGCCGCTGTTTGACCGAGTGGAGGACTTGGCCTCTCTGCAATATTTGAACGAGTCGAGCGTGATGCACTCACTGCGGCAGCGTTACGGCAGCAACCTCCTGCACTCCCACGCTGGGCCCAACATGGTGGTCATTAACCCAATTAGTGCCCCCTCTATGTATTCTGAGAAGGTAGGCAGCAATATATATATATTTTAATTAATTTTTTAAAATGCATTCATGTCTTGAAATGGATGCGCTGAGAGTGAAACATGCCCAATGATGTGAGCTAATGTGAAGATAAGTCCCATTTCTGTTCTCATCTTCCTTCCTGTCCAGGTCATGCAGATGTTCAAAGGCTGCAGAAAAGAAGACACGGCCCCCCACATTTACAGCATGGCGCAGGCTGCCTATAGGAGCCTCCTTACAACTCGTCAGGATCAGTCCATTGTCTTGCTTGGCAAGAGTGGAAGTGGCAAGACCACCAACTGTCAGCACCTCATCCAGTACCTGGTTACCATCGCTGGAAGCACCAACAAATCATTCTCCAGTAAGTTGGAAGGGATGCATTCAAATTATGCTTTATTTGTCAGCTGTTTGTTATTAAGCTCTCCCAGTTACCAGCACTTCAATTTGGTTTATTGTAGCAGAAAAATGGCAGGCAGTCTATTCAGTTTTGGAGGCTTTTGGGAACGCTTCGACTTCCCTTAATGGGAATGCAAGCCGCTTCTCCCACATCGTTTCCCTGGATTTCGACCAGGCAGGCCTGGTGACATCAGCCTCTGTCCAGGTAAACACAAACACACTAGGAGAAAAAACAGACCAATTTTTGTGTGTTTTTTTTCTTCTTTTTTGTATTCTCCTTGCTTAATTCACTGTGGTTCTAGCTGTTTCTTTGGTTTAGGCACGAATTGCAAAATCGATGCATTAATCAAAAACTTTCCTGATACTTCACTGCAACCAAACTCCATTCAGATCTATAATTAAGTGCTATATGTGTACAAAGAATTGATTTTCAGATAATTTTGTCAACTTGGTTTTATTGTGACTTCACAGACGATGCTTTTAGAGAAAATGAGGGTGACGAGGAGACCAGAAGGGGAGTCCACTTTCAACGTGTTTTACTACCTGATGGCTGGAGTAGATGGCGCTCTTAGGTCAGTATTGATGCTATTTAGCCAATTAAAACAACAAGACAGCTCTGTTCTGTATTTAATTAGTGAGACACAAATAGTGCCTTGCAGAACTATTTATACCTTTTGAGCTTTTTCCACATTTTTATAAATTTGAACCACAAACAGCCATGTTGTTTTGATGATTTGTTTTGTCACCAACGCAAAGGAGTATTTAGCTGTAAACAAAAGATAACATGGTTTTTGAAAAATAATAATAAAAGGAAAGTTGCCGGCTTTAATACTTGATTAGGTTATAAAACAATTTCTGCATGCTTTGAACATCTCACAGAGCAATATTCCAATAATAATCTAAAAATGGAAATAGTATGGAACTGACAAATATACCAAGATGTTCCAGCTTGCATGCAAAACCCCATTTGAAGTGGAAAACAAAAAATGGATATAACACTGAATGTGGCAGAACCATTGTCATTCAGTGGGAAAGCTTTTGGAGTCATTTTAAAAAGTATTGACCGATACTTTGTAAATATAAATGTCTGCATGAAAGCTAAGTATCATTTGCCTTCCATTTTAAAAACGTTGCACTGGTTTGTGTTTGTCCATCTAATCCCCTAAATAATGTATCAAAGATTTTGTTTAGAATGGGACAAAATGTGAAAAAGTCGGATGGTTTGAATACTTTCGCGGGGCTCTACATAGTGTGTTTCAATAATATTCTGTCAGCTGTCATTTCCTTATCTTTTTTCCCCCATCAGAACGGAGCTGCACCTCAACCACTTTGCTGACAACAATGCATTCGGAATCACGCCGCAGAATAAGGTAAATGCTGCCCCGCGAGCGGAGATTGGCCTTTGAAGATATTACTTTGACCTCTTATAAAGCCGAAGTAATCTTTATAAAAATCTGTTAGGCAGAGGATAAGCAGCGGGCCTCTCAGCAGTTTTCCAAACTGCAAGTAGCCCTGAAGGTCCTTGGGATCAGCGCGGATGAGCAGCGGGCCCTCTGGCTGGTTCTTGGGGCCATCTATCATCTCGGAGCAGCTGGAGCTACCAAGAGTAAGATTTATTTACATCAAACAAGGAAAAAAAAAAAAAGTAAAACATTTCTCCCCTTCATAGTGGCATCATTACTCGTAGTAATAATGACAATAATAATAGTGTGTGAACTATTAAAAATCTTTTTAAGTTTGGAAAACACCCCCCTTCCAATTCCCCTCCACCATTTGCTATTTTTTTCAGCAGCTTTTTACTTGATGTGTCAATGTTGAGGCTGCATTTTGAAACCATCACTTGTGTGATGCAAGAAAGATGTAACCGAGGCAGCTGAATTATGCATTTGCACTTAGAAAGAGATGTTGCACAGTGCACAGATCATTACACTGAGCTTCACCAATCTGCAGCCCTAAACGAAATATCACATTGTTGGGGAAATGTATGCCTTACAACTAATACTACTTGCAAATGAAAAGGTGAAGAAATAATTGAATATCTACACTAGTTAGGGTTATGACTACTGTGTGAATGTTATGCTGGCTTTTTTTTTTCACAGTTTCAAATGTTTTTCCTTTGTGTACAATGCTTATACAGTTTGCAACAATAAATGGAATGGCAGGGAAACGGTTCAAAACATTAGCAATTCATGTTGCAACTGATTAGGTTATATCTTTCAGAAATAGTGGAAGCAGATGTTAACATAAACATTAGAATGGATATTACAGCATTCACTGTAATGCTCTATTTGATCTTGATTACAGAAAAAACTATTAGACTTTGTTTTGGGTTCACTTCAATCACATTGAGATGGAAAAGGGGGAAAAAAAAGAAAGGAAGAAAATGTTAACAGGGAGATGGAGAGGTAAGGATAGAGGAGAGGGAGAAAGTTCAAGAGAATATAAGAAAATGCACTAATAATTTGCTTCTACAAATTCCTAGTTCTTCAGGCTAATCTGTTCTGAATACCTTGTCCTGTATTGCCTACATGGCTTTTGGTAAGCGTTAAAAAAAGACTTCAATGAGGGTTTTCTTCTTCCTGACTAACACTTTTCAGGTTTTTTACTTGGAATGCAAAATTATGGACTATTTTGTATTGGTCTGTCACACAGTCTTAGTAAAATACATGGTTGTAACATGACAAAAAAAAAAATCAAATTTTGATATTATTTACATTTCCATCCTCTGCATCACATCCTCATAGGGTCTTAGAAATGGACCTTATCATATCCAAACGAAGTCTTTAGGATTTGATCTTACAAAATATGTTTCTTAATGAGTATCACTAAAATGCACTGAACATAACATACAAGTCACAAAGACTGCACAGGCTGCACGGGGTGAAGCATGTGTTTTTTGAAACATTTCTTCACCCTTCATTACGTCTGCACAGTTGCGTATGCAGACTAGCTCGCCCAATTAGTGTCAGTGATCCCCTCCAGCTGGCTACCAATCTTTCTGATGGCGCCATAACACCATTAGGAACTAATTTTAAAATATTCCCAGTACTGGATATCGTCTGTGAATGCAGAATCAAACTAATGTTCTTACGATCGGCATGACATTTAAATTTGGGAAGGTTTTCGTCAGAACTATTCTTCTTAATAAGGTGTGCTGTATGGTGATAAAGTTCTAGAACCATAGATGCAACACAGCGATAACAATTTGACTTGTGTACATTCAAAAGTTATGTTTATTCATTAGAATATTCTGCACTTCTGAAAACATGTTTGTTGCCTCGCTGACTGCTCCAGAGTACTTCTAAAATCAGTTTTCCAGCAGTGTAATCTCATTTTGTAACACCAGAGGGCAGCAATGATCTCTGTTTACCCATAGCCACGTCAAGGAGCCATGTAAAAGGAGCTTGCTTTTGTGTTTACTGTACTGTCAATCCATTTATCTGACAAGTGTTAATTGGAAAAGGTTTACCCCATAATTGCTGTTGTTGAAGCACATATGTACAGATGGATATAGTTCATCTTTTAAAACCTTTCCCCTCCATACCTGTTTTGACCCTGTAAAATAAGGCTACAATGACAAAACCAGCTTCTTCTTTTTTTGATGTCTAAAATAATTCCCGATTGAGCCGCCTATCATTCAAAGCAAATATTTAAAAGTCTTTGCTTGACTCCACAAATGTTCTGCTACGCATTAGGAGACACACGCAAGTGCTCTGTCGCAGTGATGAAACCGATAGAGCCCACTGCTTTGTTTTTTTTTTTTTTTCTGCGTGTAATCCCCAAAGTTATTCTCTGTCAAAAGACTTAGAAGATACCAGTTCATGGTGGATTATAACTGGAGTTTTTTACTGCTGTGTTGGATGTCATCATTATTTTTAATAGATTAAAGAGACGCTTGTGTCTCCCAAATGAAGTTCCCAGTCAGGTAAATAAATTGTTCTTCATTAATTGCATTTATTCCCATGGTGGAGTTCTTTTTTTTTTTGTAAACTTGTAGATGAACAAGGTTATATTTTCTTTTCAGTGATGGTTCAGACTTTTTTTTTTCTCGTTTTTTAACAGTTTGTCATCAGCTCTGCCTGCAGTGCCTTGCAAAAGTATTAACTTGCCTTGAGCTTTTTCTGAACAGCTACGCGTAGGTTTCAGTTTTCTTTACAATTAAAAATCTGAAAAATGTGTCATGCATTGTCCCCCTTCCATCCCACCAGATGGACTTCCTATTAACAG